TAGATATAACTAATTACGCAGTAATTACGGATACAGTAATTTTGGATATAGTAGGATACAGTAATTTTAAATATAGGGTCAAAAATCAATTTAAAAATTAATTGGAAGCTTTCAATTTGAGATCAATTTAATTTAAATTAATTGGATCAATTTAAAAATTAATTGGAAGCTTTCAATTTGAGATAAACTGATTTATAATAAACCATACTTCTTCCAAATACATAATGTAGCATAGCATCGAAGAATTTTTGTTACAAAAATATGAGTGCAGAAAAAACAAAAAATAAAAATATGAATGTAGACAAGCCAAGCATTTCAATGAAATATTTGTTTGGTTTTTTTTTATTTTTTTTTATTTTTTTTTTTTATTTTGCATTCATATTTTATACTTACATACTATTTCTTGTTAGCATCTATCAAGTCTATTGCTTATTTACTTGAAATTTAGAATGGAAGTTTTCCTGTTACTAAAGCCTAAAGCTCCTAAAAATTGATATTTCGTTGGATTTTTGAAAACTTTAAAATTTATAGGAATGTCAGATTTATTTGGCCAATAAATGATTTAATCAATAAGTGAATTCATTTTATGACTTTGTTAATCTTTTAATGATATATTTACACCTATTTCATATTATTATTTAATGATGCCAGATAAAACTATTTGATCATAAAGTTCTCAAAAATTTTAGAAAAGATTTTTTCAATTAACACAATTGCAAAGATAAGAATAAGTAATTATATATGAGTAAGAAATAAATTAACTTAAATGATAAACCTTCTCGAGTAAACTTTTATGCTCCTTACGATTATCATTTATACCACTTATCACTTTTATACTTTCCGAAAATTTACTCGCCACATTATTGATTGCTTTTTGCTGCTTCTGCAATTGAACTGATAGCTGATAAAGATCTGAAAGTATCAATTCCTTTAACACTCTCTCGGATATTATCAATATTTTATAAAAGGTTACTGATAAAATTTTTTTTTAGTAAAATTTCAAAAATTTCACATTCTTTAATTGTTCATCTCAGTATAAGCTGTACATTTTTTTATGCCAAATAAGAAAATTGAAGTTACCCACTGTTTTCAAGAGTATCGGTCTCAGTAATCCAAGACTTCGTGAAATTTTCCGTACAGCAACCGATTTCATTATTAACTTCATTAGTAATCTGATCAAACTAAAGAATTAAGATTTCTTTTTTCTTTCATTAAACTACCTGTTAAATTTCATGTTTACTACTGAATAAATCAATAAAATTGATTAGCATTATTTAATTCCAATTATCATGCAATATACAAAGAGAGGAGAATAACAAACATATTCAACTCTGAATTTGGGTTACGTATCATCAAAAAAAAAAAACAATCAAAACTTCAAATAAGTAGAATAAATTTAAATTTATTTATTTAGTAAAGAATAGTAACACAAAATATTATTAAGATCTCATAACTATGTGTAAGTAAGAAAGAAATCAAAGTAATATCCGGGTATATGTATAATCAGCATATCACTATGGGTATCAAATTATCAAAGTTATGAAGATCAAATTCCTATAGCAGCAAAGCAATTTAAATATACCATCAAATTTACACAATATGTTTAACATTTTAAATGTTTTTTTTTTTTTTTTTTTTTATAAACATTTTAAATTTTCAATCAATCAAGAATTAATTACAGTTTCTATAGTGGAATTAATTCGATCTGCTGCAGCATCGAGCTCTCTCATACAGACAACTGCTTGTCGGACGTTACGTGATCGCGTGGAATTCATAAGTTTCTCATAATACGATGCCACTGTTATCATTTTCCAGAGTTCTAGCTGCTTTGATCGCTTTTGAGACTTATCCTAAAATAAATTTCAATTCAATTCAATTCATCATGAAGCTACTTATTTTTGAAATTTTACACTCTCTATAAAAATGTTTCTTTTTCTCACTTGCTACTTCAAATTTCATCACTAACCGGATGTAACGTTTTTTTAAATTCGATTCTAACTATGCTTGGATCATAATCTCGAATATCGCTGAAATTTTTTGTTTTTTTTTTTTTTTTTTTTATGATAATAATATGCATAAAAAAAGTTTTTAAAATAAATGAAAGAAAAAATCATAATTGTAAATCGAATTCGGAGAATAATTTTACTGAAAATTTGAGAATTGTTGTATTAACAATTCTAATTTGACCTTTTCAGCTTCCTTTTTGAACTACTTTACTCAAATTTTGAAAAGCAATAGAAAAAAGAGTAAACTTAACATTCTATAAATTTAAAAAGAAAACAGAGCGAAACATAATCTCATACTCTCTTACTTTTAAAGCTAATCGAAATAAAATAAAATTTGATTAAAAATGACATAAATAGGAATGCTGATCATTAAATCTTAATTCTCTCCTAATTAAAAAAAACTCTAACATAAGGAATAAAAATAAAAATGAAAAAAAAAAAAATTAATGAGATACAGATAGGAACTAAAAATTAGAACATTAAATGATTGCAGTACCGCTTCTCACGAAGTGGCTGTAATGGTGCATTATGTGCTATCATATTAACAACCAATGCATATGTCTTCAAAATTTCTTTAAATTTATAAAATATATTCATTTTATTATGCATTTTCAATGCACACAAATTTGCATAAAATTTAGTTGAATAATTTGTTTTGATTTGTTAATTTTAAAATCTGAAACTGAATCAGTAATAGTAGATGAACCCATCCATCATAGCACTTTTTCATCACGTAAATTATGCTAAAATCATGAAAAGATACTTTGATATTATTTACATTTTCTTATCATTCATTTTTCTATTTTGGAAATTATTAAATTGAACGGAAGACACAACAATAATTTTCACTCAAAAGCAGAAAAAGTTAACTTTCAGCAAAAGACCATAAGCAATTTTGAAAAAAGCTACTCCTCCCTAAATCAAGCGATAGAAATTGCATTTTAAAATTTGTTTCATCTCAAAAATATGAAAAATCGATAACTTCTACCACCACCAAAAGTGCAATTATTTTTTTTTAAAACAGCACACTATCTCTGATAACTTGTTATACTTCTGAAAATCACATAACTTTACAACCAAAACAAATACACATAAAATGCGGCATACACCGAGTAAGTTAGATCACGATGACTGATAAAACTACTGGTCTTAGAAAAAAAAAAAAAAAAAAATTAGCTCCAGGATGATTATGTAGTTATCATATAAAACTTTGAAATGTAATGTAACGCTAGAGTTTCAAATGAAAATTTTTTAATGAATGAGAATCAATTGTGATTTGATAGTGTAGGGAAGGACATCAATGACAAATGATCACACTCACAATTCGAGAAATTTTGCTTACATAAATGAAAATTAGTGTGACGTTAATAGTAAGTAACATATTAGATGCAATTAATGTTGAACTGTTTATTTTGTGTTCATTCTTAATTTGTAGTGATTTTCAATAGTTGAAGACCGAGTCTATCGTAAAAAAAGTGATCTAATACGTCAAACACACATGTGCAGTTGGTTCTGTGTCATAGCAGTTGACATTCCATTGTGTTTCCATTATGCTTAGATATTATCTTACCATTATTTTACGATGATCGAGATATTTAGTAAATTTGAAAACCATATATATTATTATGTCAGATATGGAATTTAAATATTTCTCTAGAAACTGCTCTAAAAATTCTCGTGTTCGTGCCATTTCTTGGAAGCAAAAGACAAATAATACGGCTTAATACTGGACATCATTTGTTAAAATTTAATTTCATTGAATATCAACATATAATAAAAGTATTAACAAACAATTTATACTGATTCTGCAATAAGGATAACAAGAATGAAATCACTCAGGTCGTTCCTATCATAAAAGCCATCAAACCTGATGATTAAACCAAGTGAAAGAAAGAGTGAATGCTAGTGTGAAATAAACCCGACAACAAATGAATGAGTACTGTTCAGAGACAATGAAATAATACATAAAAGGATCTGAGCGTCATATAAGAAGGAAAAATAGAAGTGATAGGATGAAACCTTGGAGAATAAACCTGAAATTGTAATACATATATCAATATCAAATTTCTAACACTCGATCCACAAAATTAAAAAAAAAAAAAATACATAACATTTAAAAGAATAAATTAATACTTCATGGTTATGAGAAAACACAACACAAAAGATGAAAACTTCAAATAAAAAGAATGTTATCTCCAGAACCTTACAAAGATGGATTTATTGGTTCATGTGCTGCTCAAATTTCTACAAACAAACCAAATTATAACAGTTTAGATGAGCAGCAAAAGTTGAAATATAACAGTTTAAGTATGCAGAATACTGATTTCTCTTGAGAGCTGTGTGCACTATACATTCATTGTTCTAAATAAGTGGATCTCTTCAAGAAGTGAAAAGTTACGAGTTGACTATTGCACAAGCATATCAATTCTTCATTACTGATGATCATGAATCAGAATTAAAGATAGATGTGAAAGCACAGAAGAATAAATGCCTTTCAAATTTCAACTTCTCAAAAAATTGAGAAAACTGTAGATAAGGAAATAGTTAGCGATCTGACTTTGCATTTTAATTTCCAAAACACAAAGCCACAGAAAACCTTCAGTTACCTAATTTAGAAAAACAAAAATAGATATGAGGTCAAACCATTCGAGAGAATAAAACAGATGCAGCTCTACATCGACCATGTTAACTCTTAAATGTATAAAAGTCATAAGAGGAAAACAACAATTTTAAAAATTAATTGTTCTAGAAACAGCGGAGTAACCATGTTTTAGAAACATGTAACCATTTCTAGAAAAAAATCTGTTCTAGAAACATGGTTACTCCAGCTTCCTGACGGCTTGCCAAAATTAATCCATACATAACCAAATCGTTTAATTAACCTCCGAACATGAGGTATCTATTGTAAAACCAGATATGAGGTATCTTTCGTACTACAAAATGGAACAGAATCCTCCAATATAGACCAAAAATGACAATGGAAAAAGATAATACTTATTTTGTACTGTGATTAGTTGTTCGGCATGCTTTACGCTTTAGTGATTCAATATATGATACCATTTTCAAAGCCGGACCAAATGGCATTTCCAGATGACGTATTAGCAGCTCAGTTGTTAGCAGGATTAAAGCTTTGCCATCAATTTGCTGAAAAAAAAATTAATTACACCACTCATTCAACTTCGAAGCCATGTCATTATATCATTCTTAATAAATATACGTACCGTATAAAAGATAAGCAACGACTTACTGAGCTTATTTGTATAATAATTGAAATCCTGTCGTATAACAAATGAATTCATTTTTAAACAGATTTTAGCGAATAAAAAAATCGGTAATATATTCCAGATAGTAAATCTAATTTCTTCATAAGAAAAAAAAAAAATCACATTTTGCAAAAATTTCTCGGCAATATTTGCATCGAACATATTTTCAACTTCATTTGCAACACGCTGCATAGACCATTCTGTTAAATCCGAGTACTGGTGACCTAAGAAAAATTGGTGGCAATCTTTTTATAATTAGAGCATAACCAACCTATAGCTTTTTTCTTCTTTTTTTTTTTTTCTGATCGCACTTCATTTTTCAAAGTTATATAAGTGTCAAGATGTTTTAAACCGAGAATGATGATAAAATTTCACTTCCAAAATTTGTTAAACGAATGCTGTATGAAAACCAACTAACCTTCGTAGTCTTCAGAATCATCACTTTCAGTACCGTATTTCAGCACTCCACCACCTATAATAACAAAACTTCAAACTACGTACTAGCAGTTAAAATAAAAAAACAATCGGATTACACAGTACACAATTTTCTTTTGATAGAAAACAAAAATATCAAAAATACACTAACCTGCGGTGGTACTAACAACTACATCATCACTTTGACAAGAGCATAATGAGCAGCAGATCGGCTCCTCAGTCAAAAAATTGCGGCATACGTTTAATTTTGAAATAAAAGTATGCAAATAATCCCATGCAGAGGCAAGAGTCTTCACTGTTGGTATAGCGCGTACGTGGGTCACGTTATGGATTTCAGCTAAAATTTTTAATGCAAGGATAAAAAAAAAAAAGCAAAAAGAATAGGTGTAGCTAGCTATGAAACAATACAATGATTCCCAACTACCCAGTTGTTCTATGCAATTCTGATTAGGGAAGTGGAATAACTGTCAACCAAACTCAAAGAATACTCATGAATCATAATAATAATCCTATCACTGTTTTTTCTTTCTCCGACTTCTACTCATCTCTTCGTCTCTTCGATTCAGTTAACAGCAAGAATGTGAGCCTAGTGATTTCAACAATACCTATAGTCAAAATGTACAAATCACAGAGGGGAACTGGAAAAAAGTATAAAATTTCATTACATCATCTTACCAGTAATAGATAAAATCCTTATAGTTCCAGGATCGATTTTTTTAAATACAAACGAAGGATCAACAGCACAATTTACAATTTGTTGAATTGTTTCCCTTAAAATATGATGCACAGTGCCAGGCCCAAATTTCTCCGGCAATTTACGGACGAGTGAAGCGTTTAGAATGGGTGTACATCGACAACCTCGATTTAAGTAAACAATCACTGAAAAAATCTTAAATTTGCAATAAAAATAATAATAATAAAAGGAACAATTTCTGGACTTCAAAGAAATCACGAGATTTGCTCACAAGAAATAAAATTTTATGCTCAATTAAATAAACAACAATTTTAACTTTTTTGGACTTCTGGCTGCACATCAGTCGTTGAGAGCACAACATCTGGAGCAGCAAGTATGTTTTGTATACCATCTGGAGAAGAAACTGTCTGAAATATGACTCTTTGCGTTGATACACTTTAGAAAATCACAAAAATTAACCAAAGAAAATAACATTCAAGCTTCTAAAATTACTTTTCTAGATTGTTTGATAACTGGGTTTTCAGGTATGACTGGTGATGGTAGCGTTTTTCGTGCACGAGGTTCTGAAAAGTAGTTGCTAAATAAAATTAAATACAGGAATAATAAAACTATATTAAGAGTTTAGTAAATATTTGGAATGAATTTTTATAAATCAACCGATACGATTGTCTAGAATCGCAACTGCATCCGCTGCACTGGTCACTGCCTGTTGGCTCGATACACTACTTGCAGAACTTGCCTCAATTGTATGTGCTTGTTTAGCAATCTACAAAAAAAAAAAAACTTCATCGTTTAGAAAAATAAATAATAGCTTCTACTAGGAGAAAGTATAGTACTAAAAGAGGAACTCTGGCTCACAACATTTAATCTGCGCAAGTAAAATATCCAATATAGTGTGACAAACGAAAAGCTTTTTACTAATGAGCACCTGATCAATTATATCAAGTAAATGAGATGAGCAAGAACCATCCGAAGAGTTATGAGGAAGACTGCGAGCTGAAGAAATTCGTTTTCGCTTCCGATTTTGCGTTTTGTTGGTGTTGGTTGATTTCCTTTTGAGTATTTTTGCTAAAACTTATACCAAAATTGGGACTAATTTTGGTAATGTCCTTACATTAACATTGTTTATCTTTGATTAAATCCTTAATTTTACTATATATGGATACTGAATTTTTGATTGCTTCCACAATTTCTGCGTGAAAACTTTTACACTTAAAAATCAACGAAAGCAAAAGATATACATTTCCGCGAAGCAGTGACCTTCGGAGCTTTCGGTACCGTATCTTTTTGCACTATCCGTTGCAAAACTTTTCCTGTAAAAAATCATTAAGAAATAAACGATAACACTCCCAAATCATAACTCAATATCATAAATGTTTCCTTATGACCTAATGATCCGTTATGTCATGAATTATTGCACTAATCTATACTGACTACAATTAATAAAGTGACACTGTAAGATAAATGTAATTTTTTTAAGTTTAGGAAATTTCAATAACAAATAAAAAAAAAAAAAAAAAAACTATACAAAGTGATGCATATATGAACATTACTTCTCAACAATAAAAATCAAAAGTATACCTTTTACATAATTTGGTGGTTGCACTTCAAGTCCAGATTTAGCAGCCCACCCAACTGGAAAAATAAAGCGGCTATCATAACGTTCCTTACAGTCATAAGCTTTATTCCAGCCATCATAACTGATTGTTAAATAATCGCCTTTTACATCAATCACAGTTGCCGGACACGGCCGACCGTTAAAATTTTTACGATCAATCGCTTCACATTTCATGCCTACTTGAAATGTATTCTTCCTTGGATGATATTTGAATGGAATCTGTAATGACATTAAGATTGAATAACACATAACTTCAAATTTCATGTCCACTTGAAATGTATTCTTCTTTGAATAATATATAATGCATTCCCGACAGTGATTGTTAAAAATGTGAGGAAAGAACTCAAATGACAAATGCTGGGAACAATACCAACAACATCTGCTGAATTCATAAAAAGAGTCAGATTTGTATAGTTTACAAGATTTATAACTATATACCGGTTTAAAAGATTCTGGAGATGCTATTGGACTGCTGCCATCTGCATCAGGTTTTAACTGATTTTCGATGAATTTATGAAATGAAGCTAAATTATACATGAAACCAAATGGAGGTTGCAGAATTAACCCATTTCTTACGCAGTCTCTGAAATAAATCAAAAATTAGCAGAAATTACGCGATATATTTGTTACTATCAGCGATATATTTGTTATTGTTAGCGATAAACTCATCTCTAAACCATAACATGGTTTTCTCAACTGAATTTTTCACAGCACAGAACAAAACCTCTATGCCTAAAGTTCCTCCATTTTCTCCAAAAAGAACTAGATGTAGTCCTCATCAGTATGATATTTGCACAAAAACAGACCACTGATAAGAACTGAAGTAAGTAAAAAAGGCACTTACCCGACTGGTTTGATTCGTTCGTCATCGCATATAAGCCAATGATCATTACTTCCATCTTCTCCATCAAGTCGAAGACATACCCAAAGCGAATGAACCGCGACAATTGTCGCTAAGCATTGTACCTCCTTACCTTCAATTTCTTTTATAATTATGAGCAATTAAAAGTTTTTGCCATCTTCTATTTAACTTAACTTCATTATTAATTCAGTGTTGCTTTTCAGAGTCTTTTTTTAAACACAGTTATTAAAGCATCCTTTAAAAATTCGTAACTGAAAAATAGAAGGAAAAAAAATTCATTTTTCGAAGAATGGAAATAAAGAACAAGGAGTTTTACCTCTTGGATCTGGTACTTCTACTTTTTCGCCAACAGTGAAATTATTTTTAGGTGGTATAGGATCCTGGTAAAAGCAATCCTCCGGTGCTGCAATAGCTTCAGTTTCCTTCAGATATTCCTGCCAAGAAAACGTCATATCCGTTATATTTTTGGATGTATTTTCCTGAAAGACACTCAATTTCTCAATTTTCAAAATTTTATGGAATAATGAAATGATAATTGAAAATAAAACTGAAAACTTCATCCATACCCTTTGCGGTGATTGTGCACCATAAATATTTTTCTCGTCATCATTCTTTATAACGTTCTGTGAGTCTGGCGGAGAATTATCCAAAGCATCCTCATCCTGTGAGAATTTCCAAAGAATTTATAACATGAGAAATCTAACGTTCCAAATAAATACATCTTCGTATTCTTAACTTCTACACGACTATACAACTTATTTCACATTTCAGTATACTCCAATTATTTTTCTCAATTATCTTTCCGAACCTGTGATTAGTGGTGACAAATATTTAAAATGCTGAAAAAAAAAAAAAAGATTTGCGGCAGTAAACTTTCAGAGTTACTAATGACTTACTAAAAATCAGCTAATTTTGAATAACCTTATCAATTATACTTTGCCGCATAATATTCTACCAATTACCACTAAACAACTGTTGATATGGCAAGCATCAAGGTGACTAGATGAATAACCACAAGTACTAAAACATTTAGAGAAATAATTGATCATTACTACACAATTACTACAATTTTTATTGTTAATGAAAGAATAAAGCTCAATTAGCTGACTAATAACAGTGTAAATTATTATGAGAAAAAAAAGCTAGAATGAGTAATAAACATACTGCTGATGAGAATGGTGAATCGGTATGTTTATCATCAGAGATTATCAGCCTGCTTTCATCATCCACATCTTCATCCAGTTCCGTAATAAATATTTCTTGTTTACTGTTTTCTTCTCGGCTTATTTCTTCCATTATTCACCTAGAAATACTTAGCAGAATAGCAAACACTAAATGAATATCTGCTTCCCATAAATTCGGGCAACTCATTTGCTCCTTATTATCCAAGACAATTTATCAGCCTTCCTTGCACATCAGTCACGCATACCACGTTCCCTACACATGCCCACGTATCCGTATACTCTATCTCAACGAGAAAAATACCACGTAAAACGTCAAAATCTATTATGGTATGGAAAATGTGTACAAGAACAACTCAAACATAGTTCAGCTTCGCTTGCTGGCATACGTCACGTGTTCGAGGCAAAAGCAATTTATTACAAATTTGTTATTTTTGAATCCTACGAGAAGAAAAGATATAAATTGCAAAATATTGATAATATTATCAGCAAAAATAAGCAAAAAAAGTGATGAAACAAGTATAATACCAGGAATTAAATGATAAACAATGAAATCTCAGATAAAAAATAATACTAAATGACTAATATTTACATTGAAGCAAAATCATATCAAACAAGAAAAAAAGAAAATAGGGAAGTGAATTTGTTAGCCAATAAACTTCCAACAAACTCCTCCAAAAGATAAAAAATAAACAAATGTATTTAATTTTAGCATTTCCTAGCATTACTTATTATCATTTCCTTATGAAAGCTTTCAAAATAAAATGTCGCATTAAAGTTATTGTCACAATGTCGCATTAAAGTTATTGTCACATCCTATAAATGTATCAATTAAACTATTTGAATGTTCATTAAGCAAATGACCACTCATTAGTTTATTTGGGAAAAAAACGAATTATTTTGAAGACATTTTAGCAATTTACAAAATGATTTTACGATAGGTAAAAGATAGCATTCCATCTAACTATTGCATGCTATGAAATGCAGTTGTATTGCATTGCATGCTGCATGATTTCTTCTTACGTTTATTTCTCCATTTGTTTTTCCAACGAATTAATTATATTAATAGTTTCTTTTTTTTCAAAAAAGACACTGAAAAATTCATTTATATTACATATATATTTTAATTATTTATTTTTCATTCGATATTTCCATAAAAGAGAAACGATTGCATTTATTGTCGTTTTATTATTTAATGTCATACTATTTGCAGTAATCTTCAGTTCTACTTTCTGATCCTTTTACTGTCAAAAAGTAACCAAATTATACCGGTATATATGAGAAGTTTAATCGTTATATTGGAGTATCTTTAGTTAAACTTTTTTTTTTTATGTGTTTCTGCTAATCCAATTAAGGCAATTATTAGTTTATGCAAATTTTTTCATACTTTTTTAAATTATAGTTAAGTGAAATATTCATGAAAATTACGAATGTTCTCCTAGAAATCATTGAACTATGAACTGATGAAAGGAAAGACTGCTTTTTTTTTTTTTTTTTTTTTAAATTTATTAGTTTCATTGATATGATTTCAAAGAAGTATCGTTTAAATTAATACTAACTATATGAAAAAATTAATTATGATAAATTCATCTTTTGTCTTGCAATTGTTTGAAAATTATCACTAGCAGATCAATTAAATGACTGATTCCACTTCATAGTTAACATTTTTGATAAAAAAAAAAAAAAAATTGGTGGAAAAAATTTCATGCAAATTTTTTGCAAATATTATAAAAGTATCAAAATAAACAAATAATTATCAGTGTTTTTTCTATTGCAACTCTCATTATACCACTTGTTAACAGTAACAATAATAATAATAATAATAATAATAACAACAACGAGTAACTTAATTTGAAAAGAATGATTTCATTCGATAGTTGGAGATGTTTCATATTCGAACTGATTTTATTTACATTTACTGGTAATTTCATTTGGTAGCTTTCTATTTTTTTTTTTTTTTTTTTGATCTATATGGGTTTATTTTGAAAACTAACGAATTAATTTAGAGATAAAATTGAGAATGATAATTAAAAACGTTAAAACTCTTAAAAATTGTTTTTCAACCAAACTATCAAATTTTATCATCTTCAAAAAGAATGAAAAAGATTTTGCTCTGAATTCAAATATTAATGGATTTATCTGAGTATCTCAGTTATTTTTTAGCTGTGAAAATCATTTTAATAGAAATATTATATTAGATATTAAAATGAAAACTGGAAAGTACCTAAGTTATTCTGGATACTTCCTAATTACTCATAAGTGAAGAATTCGAGTGTTTATTTTTATATTTTTCAAAATGATTTGCAAACCAAATGGTTTCTTTTTTTTTAAAAAAAAGATGTAGATTTTTGAAATTTGCCCGTTGAAAAGCTTAATTTCTCCTATAAATTGATGCTTTATGTAAAATATGTAAAACATCGATTTAGCCTATTTTCAAAAAAAAAAATGATATTTATGCTAATTTTATTATTGTTTTTTCTTTTTTTTTTTTCGGTCTCTTTACGTTATAAAAACTAAAAAATAATAAAGTTATAAAAAAGTTTGAAATAGTTATAGTTATAAAGTTTAGAATAAATCAAAAGTTTTCAGTTCGATGGAATGAAAGTTTGAAGGGTTATGAAGCAGATTCATGGGGTACCGAATTTATTTTTATAATACCACAAAAAAGTAGCGAGTCGAATCAAGCTGCTTGCTATATTCATGCAATGGATAGGGAAAAAAATGTGACAGCAAATATTGAGTACAATATTTTAAGCATCAAAAATAATAAATCAGAAATTGAAAAGAAAAAAGACAAAGTGGTTCTTCGTTCTTTTTACCAAGTATTTCGCTTTTGCTTTTTAATCAATTTTACAAATTTTTTTTTTTACTCAATTTTTGGTTTTAAAATTCGACATATGTCAACTTGTAAACCAAACAAAGTTTCCGTGGAATTTTGGCGTTAATGTTTGAAATTAAAATCGAAAAAAAAAACAGATCATGTTGCAGTACAATTTTCACAATTTGGTAGTGAATAACGCAGTTGATGGATTGCATATGTTGGAAGATAATCGAATACATATTACTTCTTTAGACAAAATATCAATTATTGCCTATGTATCAGACGACAAATCGGCTATTGATTACTTCTTAGGTTACCTTTATCAATTTAAAATTACCTTTATCAGTTGTAGCTTAATTTAAAAGATTTTTTCAATTTTATGATTAGATACATTGTTAACTGAATTTGCTTCATAAATTTTGAATTGGATAATTTTGATAAGATATGATCAAACGTTTGACACTTATTTAGAATTACATTACACGTTTTTATACGTGTTACCTTTCAGTACATCCAGTTGGAATGGGAGGTAATTATTATGGATTCTCATTACCTGGACGTAGTACCATTACTTTATATTTTATACCACTTGGTGCAACAAACAAAACAATATCACAAAACCATGGTGTTCACAATGTTTCAATAAAATTGAGACAAAACAATAAAATAAAAACTGTAAAACAAAGTATGAAGGTATAGCAAACAAATTTGTCAACAAATAAAAAAAAAAAAAAAAAAAAAAAAAAAAACAAACCAGTTAAGATGGTTAAGTAAACAAATTTATTGGCATTTGAAATGATAAATATCATTAAAATTAGAAACTCTGCTTAAAATTTTTAAAATCACAAATATTAGAAATGAAATACTTTCATTTTGATAACAAAATATTTGAAATTTTTCATAGCTATTAATACATCATTGATTTAGAAAGATTACAATTATAATTTTTCTAAATCACGAAATACAATTAGCAATCTTGCTAATTCAAAAATGATTGAAAATAGGTATAATCTAAGTAAGATATGAATTTTTATTTTTTATAGGCAGGTTCATTATGGCAATATACAACATTTGTACAAGAGACAATATCAATATGGATTCATGATCAATTGAACAGTACCATTAGTGTAACAAAACGAGTAAGATCAAAAGTACGAACAAAATTGAATGATGAAACAGCTCGATTACTTATTATTGCTTTGGTTTGGAATGTTTCATTATTAGGTGTCAAGAAAACAGATTTTGGATGTTTCATGCCAACTCCAATGATTGTTGATCGTTCGTTCTTTTGAACCTACTTCGAAATGTATGCTAAAATTTCCATTGTGATGTGATAGAAAATTGAAATATTCGTTTGAATGCAAAAAAATTTACATATTTATAAAATTCGTTTTAATTCAATTTATCTTTTTAAGAAATATTTGAAATGTAACTATTCGAATATGATAGATTTTCAAAGATTGTAAGATAATCAATCCAATTTTATTATTTCATAGAGTAGAAATTAACAAATAATGATAGCAAATAATTTGCAGAATGCGCTGAATTAACAACTCCTGCTTATTATCCAATAAATAGTGCTTTTGTAAGCAATGCATTGTTTACATCGCCATCAGATTTGTGTCCGAAGGAAATGATTAATATCAGGACCACTATGACAGAATCTAACTTATTAACAATGGAATGGAATAAATCAGCAGAGAAAATTAGTTTAAAGGAAAAAGTTTCTAAGAAAATGTTTGCCATCACATCTGGGTATGTTCTTTTTTTTTTTTTTTTATTACTAAGTTTTCCATCATTCAAACATTTGTTACACTCCTTTTATCATTATAATTAAAATTCTTGTACATTAATCCGAGTTAAACTAAAGTTGGATTCATGCTTAAAATTGATATTTGAGGACAACAATCATGAATATAGTGCATTATGGAGGGAATGAAGGAATGTTTATTCATGAGATTCCCGCATATTCTCAATGGGTTAATGGTGATTCTCCAGTAGTGGTACCAGAAGGTTCAGAAGCTACTCTCTATGTATACTTTGCATTTCTTAACTAATTTTTCTACTTCCTCCAACTTAATTTCTATCTTTTTAACAAATATTTCACTTCCGGAATCTTTTCAGATAGTTAATCAATTACAGGTAGATGTACATACATACATACAGGTATAGATTATTTTTAAGATTTCAGGTTTTAGCAGATGACTACGGAAGGGAAGCAACAATGGAAGGTTTTGAATATCCTTATTTTGAAGCAATGGATGATGTGTCACCCGATTTTAGTCTCTTCTTATACACTCGCAAACTTAACCCTGGTATCTATCGTGTTGGCATCGATCAGGAATTGGGTGGCCGATATATTGCCATTCTTGTAGCTGAATTCAGTGAAGCTACCATTGGCTATGTTGCTGCTATCAATCGTATGTTTGATAGTTTTATTAAATTTGCTTTCCTGATGATACGAGAATTTGATATTCATTTCCTTTCCAAGAATTAAATGAAGGTTTTCTTTTTTTTTTTATCGTTTTGATCTATTTCTATAGCTCAAAAAAATAAAACTTTGTATAAAGAAATGAAATTGAAATTTTTGCTGGACTATTGTCTGAAAAGTCGAAATTAAAATTACAAATAGCTTAAGATTAGTGAAAATGAAGAATTATGAGTGATTTATATTTATGATTTATAAATTATTATTTCATTGCTCTTTCTGACATTTTTATCTGAAACGCTTTCAGTTCATAAAATTCCACCGCCAATATTTGTAAAATATTCTACTACCGGTAAGTATTAAATATTTAACGGAAGGAGATGATAAGAAGAGGAAATCAATAACATTAGTTATTGAAATCTTGATCATACAAAGTATTAATTACACTAATTACACTAAATTGAATTGCTATAAAGAAATTTCGGTTGGAAAGTGGAATTTTGTAAAGTAAAATAAATTTGCATTTCAGCCCATTTAACAACGACTAATTCTCCGACAACACCCTTGTTGGTTTCAACAATGACCACAGTAACAACAACTCGAGGTGCTTCTCTTAATGTACTTTCAAATAATTTGTTCGCAATTTGTTTCTGTCTGATAGCATACGTTGAAAGGAAACAATAACGATGTGATAATGATAATGGCAATGATAGCAAATTCGAATGATAAAAAATAATGGAGATGATATCGACTAGTAAATCTGATATTTTAAAACTTTGAATGTTGAATTTCTTACCTATATCGATAATGAACGATGATTATTATTATCTCAAAAGACATAACCCAATAAATAGTAGAACAGTCTTTAATTATAATTAAAGTTTATTGATAATTAAAGTCCCAAGTCATTTCATGCAAATTCATCTTTAATTTATTACTTTTACATAATATCGTTTAAATTATACTTTGAACAACTTTCTTAACCTAACTGTTTCAACGTCAGTTGGGTAAATGATTACTTACTTATTGATTCGTTCTGAAATCGTTATTTTCGAAAGAACGGTTCTTTTAAAAACATTTTAACAATTTACGAGATTATTTATGATAATTTAAAAACATTGAAAAAAAGATAATTTGCGAGATGTAAAGACAACAAAAAGAAAAGTGGTTGATTACAATAGCAAGTGACAGGTGGTTGTGGTAACAGGTGCTTACAGTAACAGCTGGTTGCGACAACAGGCGACCACAGTAACCGGTAGTTGTAACAACAGGTAGTTACAGTAACAGGTGGTTACGGTGACGAGTGGTTGCGACAAACAGGTGGTTGCGGCAACAAGTGGGAACAAAAAATGGAGTTAGTAAAAAAACATGCAAGGACAAAAGGACCAAAAATTTCCCACATAACACAAATTATTAAAAATGCGAGCTATGAGAATTATTAATTTAAAGAAATAAATCAGAATTAATTTTTTTTTTAAAAAAAAAGAATAAAAAAGTGAAAAGAAGTAATATTTAGGGAAAACTTCCATCAACTAAGATTTAATCAACACGAAGCATAAGATGAGTTAACTTTATAAGAATTATAAAAAAGATTTCGTAAAATGACAAAAAAAAAAAAAATATATGGCATGAAAATAGAATTTTTTTCAAGAAAAATATGCAAAAATGAAATCAGTGATAAAAAAAAAAGCTAATTCAACAGAAAATCAGGAAAAAGTCTCGAGCTATTGTAAAAAAGTAAAAATAGACCTGTTGCAAATAAAACTCCTAGCTGTTATTGCAAAAAAAAAAAAAAAACGAAAACAAATAATACTGAAAATTAAATAAGAAAGTAAATCATCGGAAACGAAAAATGAAAATATAACAAATGGAATAAATCCCGTAAATGATTTTGCCACTAATGGAACATAGGACAAAAGTATAAATAATAAAGAAGAAAGAAAGAAAAAGGCGACAAATATTTAATAATAATCTTTTCAATAATAATAGTTAGTAATAATTTATACAAATATTTAATAATAATCTTTTCAATAATAATAGTTAGCAATAATTTATACAAATATTTAATAATAATCTTTTCAATAATAATAGTTAGTAATAATTTATACAAATATTTAATAATAATCTTTTCAATAATAATAGTTAGTAATAATTTATACAAATATTTAATAATAATCTTTTCAATAATAATAGTTAGCAATAATTTATATAATTTTAAATCAAAATATGCTTATTAGTTTTATTACATATATGGCATGAAAATAAATGATTAGCCTATAAGCCACAATTAAAAAATCAGTAAACTTTAAGTATGAAAAAGAGAAAAATGTGGATGTATATAAATTAGAGAATACTAAAACGATTAAAAGATCAAAATCTCGACAGAAACTTACTTACTCAATTAGTCAGTAATACTTGCTGTGAATGATTTTACAAGAAGTAGAACAAAAAAATTTTCCAGAAGTATTTGATCATATCAAAGTAGCCAGAATATTCCAAGTGATCGCTAATGAGTAATAAAATATACATAAGTGAGGGAAAACAGCCAAAAATAAAAGAAGATGAGCAAAAAATATAACTTTAAAAAAAAAAGAAAATTAAAAAAAAAAAAAGGCATAGGAAATAAACTGCTTAAATAAATTAGGTGCAAAAAATAGAATCCTGAAGAAATAAATGTAAGCAAGAAAATCAGACAAATGAAAATAATTAAAAGCAAAAGAAGAAAAAGCATAGTTATTAGATGTAATTATTTATTAATTTCAATTATCATTTTGATTGCTTCAATTGCTATTAAAATTTCCAACACTAAAATAAACCATTTATATAAAATATAAATAATTACATAAATAAATAGAACGCATATTCAGAATGCAAGTAAAGAAGTTAATAAATGAACAAATAAATGTATCGCTGTAAAAACAAATAAGTAAATTGGTAATAATAAATAAGTAAATAAACAAACAAAAACATTGATAATGATAAATTGAAATAAATTCCTCAAATTAGCAAAAATGATTTAATTAATTTAAATTTTATCTGCAATTCATTGTAAATTTCAAATTTCCAAATATAATCATTGTAAATACCTTTATCTGAATTTATCTTTCATAGCTGTGTGATATAACAGTTTGCTTATTACTATTTAACATTTAACAATTAAATTTCAAAAAATTTTTCAAATGAATTTATTTTGCCTTCTTGAATTGCATATTTGATTAGTTAGTTATTAATGCTGTTTACTAATGCAAAGTTTAAGTTTTGTTCGCTATTTAGCTGTATCTCTTCGCCATTTTACATTTTAAATTAGCGCGGCTTGCTAGTTGATTCGATTTTTTGGGGTGCGGGAGAATGTTTCGAACATCGATTTTGATGTCAGTAAAATTTAGACGTACGTCTTCCATTGACGTCAAGTATGCTTAATTTTAGTTTAATTACGTAAGTTTACAATTAGCTATGTATTTATTGCAAGTTTGTTATCAGTTGTAATGCGTAGTTTTTTAGTTTGACGAATAGTTTTTGTCAAAATTTCAAATTTTATTCTATGCCATCATAACGTCGCTATAATTTTCTTATCTTCTTTCTTCAACGTTGAATACGTGAATATCAGACATTAGTTATAAATACGTTAGTTGTTAATACGTTATTTACGAGCGTGGACGCGTGATATTATACCACATGATCTTATTTCAAGCCACCGTCTTCAAATGCACTTTGATTAATTTTTTATGTTCCTTCACATTGACATTGTTTACTTCATTAAAGCAATGGTTATATTTGCGTTTGTTGTTCACACTCATACGTTCCTCTCTTACGTTCAGCAGTCACGTGATAACGCATTACACGCATTTATAAGTTATACACTACAATATGTTCTAGTATTTTTGATTTTGGTATATATAGAAAAGTTCATGTGTCATTTTTTTTTTTTTTTTCATTTTTAATGAGTGATAATACATATAGTCAGATTTTTATATTTAATATTCAAATACTACTGCTTTCCTATAGGTTAACATATTCATATTTTGTATTCTTTTATTTATTCATGTCGAAGTTCACGTCATGTCATGCTTTAGTTTACATATTGACGCTTATTGTTTATGTTTTGTTTTCGAAACTTCATGGTTGGAATCACCAAAACTGACGTATAACGTCTAAATATTGTGCAATAAGTTGAAACGATTGGCATATATAGTCGTTTTACTAGCACCTGTCAAGCAAAAAAGGTAAATTTTAGAAATTTCAATCTCACAAACCAGTAGTTGAGAATGTCAAGTTCCTTCTATGATTTGTAGTTTCATCGACGGTTAATTATGAGCAGTGACAATTTATAATTGATAAGCTAATCAGTACTTTAAGATTGATGCATAGCGTTGTGGCGTTGTGATTTGGAAAAGTATTATGAATGTATTATGATGTACACATTTTTGTCATCGTTCCATTTTGCAATTTAAACTTAATGAACTTTTATTTTGAATGAGGCTTTTTCCTCGATTGCTAGTATTAATATTTTTTTAATCGAATTATGATGGCAATAAATTTTTTGCAGATAAATTATTTTGTGATAACCGTAACGATGTCTAGTGGTAACAGACGACAAAAAGAGCTGCAAAAGCAGCAACAACAGCAAATAATTGTTCATGAAGAAATTGTTCAAGAAGAAGTGGTTGCGGATGAATTAGTCGATGATGCGCAGGTTGTATGGATTATGAGTTCACTTCCTTTGAACCGTATTTTTAAAAGATTTAGCTAATTTCAGGCAGATAATAATTTCATTTAATTGCGTTGAATTTTGGATCTGTGGGAAGTAAAATCTCAGAGAAAAGAATTAATTTCCTAAGTTACTAGGGTTGGTTGCTGCTAGATTAATAGATTCCTGAGCTAAGTCGAATATGTTTTAACAAGCGAGAATAGGCAGAACTGAGCTGTTAAGCTTTGAATTAAAAAAATTTGAAAATTTTCAAGTGCTATGCAATAAGTTTTTACGGAGGATTTTAAAATAATTTAATATGTTATGAAGCATAATATTTGAAAGGAATAGCGGTTGCAATTTGGAATTTGAATATAGCATCATTTGAAAAGATTTCCAACCAACATTTAAAATCTGATTAGCGGTTATTGATAATTTAGATATCGGAAGAAATCGTAGAAGAAGTTGACGTGGAAGGTGAAGTTGAGGATGATGTGGAATACCGATTGCAAGGTATTTATTGTTTTTTTTTTCTTTTTTTTTTTTTTTCGTGTATTCGCCTGAATAAGTGTGAAGAGTAACCTATCTTCACATAGTTATTTAATCAACTTTATTGCGACATTTTTTTTGATTAAATTGATTACTGTATCATCTAACAAACATTTTTTAGCTGATGGCTCCTACAGGGTGGTTTATCCGTCACGTGCAAGTAGTATTCCATCGGGAAGTAGACATTCTCCATATGACGATTCACAGCATGAGAGAGTATGTTTTCACTCATTGAAGGATAATACAAAATAAATTAATGTCACACGGTTACCATTTATGATTTCCTATAAATGAAGTATGTACATTAAATAAAGCCGTGTCATGCTGATAAACATACTATTAATTTTTTCTTGCACAATTTCAGCTAAGTGTTGGAGAAACAAGCGACAGTCAGTTGTGCGATTCGGAAGTAGGACAAGTTCAGAGAGGACGTGTTGTACCGGCACATGTTTTTGCCGTTCGAGGAAATAGGGTAGAATTCTTCATACTTTTGTTAAACTGTTCAGAACACTCCTACCTGTTTTTGTTGTACATTAAGCTATAATAAGTCAATATATATATATATATATATTTTTTTTTTTTTTTAATTTTAATATTCCATACTTTTGAATCCATACCATATTAAGCTTTAGAATGAATTAGGAATTCTCTATTAAAACGGACATGTGAAATATTGATTTTAAAGTAATTTTCTACTAGAATAGCATCTAAGAGAAAAAAGAAAAAAGGATTGTGTCCCTTTTTAGGTCAGTTCAGTTTTATTTTAAAATTGAATAGTTGATTCGAATGATTTACAGATATATCGTATTGATCGATCAGGTGGTTCAACCACTACGACACCGGTACGTACACTAAGTGAAACGAATCGTGGAGTTGTAGACCAAATTGTGAGTTTTATAATTCTGATATTTTTACTTGAGGATTTTTTGTAACTAAAAGATTAGCTATTTCGTAGAACTGAAATTTATAAATTATTAGGTCTTTTCAGGGGATCTCGTACTTTCAAATATTGATGTTCATATAAGATGTATTTTCCTGACTGTTCTTTTAGTGGATATATCCAGAAATCGCCACGTGTGCAGCCGGCACGTATTTTCAGAAAACAGAATCAGATTGGCGAGGACGTGAAGTGTCATCCAAATCAAGACCTCCACAAACTGGGCCTCTCAGTCCACCTTTGGCTTATCGGGCTGCTCAGGCTAGCGTTCAGCGTAATAGGGTATTCACTCCAGTGCTGGCAGCCAAGTTAGCTCCAAAGAAGTAACTTCTTTCTTCAAATTTGATTCTATTTCATGCTAATGATAACTTCTACTTTTTCCTAAGATTTTTAGTTTTGAGTCTTTAGTTATGCAGTGTGTTTTCGATGTATGGTTTTATCCAAGAAATAATATGGTTTATTTTATATCAAATTTATTTTAGATTTTTTTTTTTAAGGTTTGTTTTAGATTAATGCTTCTGTTTTATTTCCAGACGACCCCTTGGTTCAAAAAAACCATGTCATTGCACACGTTCAATGTGCCTGAAGTTATATTGTGATTGTTTCGCAAATGGAGAATTTTGTAATGATTGTGATTGCAAAGATTGCAAAAATACGATTGAATATGAAATTGAAAGGACACGCGCTATTAGGTTATCACTAGAACGCAACCCGAATGCATTCAAACCAAAAATCGGTAGTATTTCTACAGTTATATTGTGGAATTATAAGATATTTTCAAGATAGCAATGTTCGACATGCACAGTCGAATAGCTGTAGCTAGTGGAAAAATTTTAGTAAAGATAATTAGGTTTGTTACTGGGTAATGAAACATAATTTTCTTTTTTCTTTTTTTTTTTCTTCAACAAATTAAGTTTGATCTTGACAAAACTTATTGTTTAATGGAGTAATATTTTTTATTTAGGTGTTGCTACTAATAGGCAAGTGGAACCAGAACGGTTACACCAAAAAGGATGTCATTGCAAGAAATCGAATTGTTTGAAGAATTACTGCGAATGTTATGAAGTAAGTTTATGTTACTCATAAACTCACATTTATGTTGTTGTGTTGAAAAGAATGTTAGGTGGTATTGAATTCTGATTTGGTTGTTGACAGGCAAGAAGTTTCCTATTCTTTAAAATTAATATATTTAAAGGAAACAGTAACTCATTGTCAGATTCAAAGATTACTTATGACACTTTTCTAACATGACTGTACAAATCGTTTTACGAAAAATGACTTATTTAATGCTGCAAAAAATTGCCAGATTATCATCATTCGTATTAAGCAATACTATTGAGTTTTAAAATTGTCATATTTCTTTTTCTAGTAAATGATTTTGAAAATAAACATCAATTTTAGGCGAAAGTGCCTTGCACTGATCGATGCAAGTGTATATGTTGCCGAAACACAGAGTCCGATCGAGCAGCACGTTTAGCAAATACCAAATCAGCTACAGCATTAACTGATATTCGTTCTGTTGCTACTCTTGGTAATGCTGATTTTCATAAAGCAACGTTGTATAGCGATGAAGATAGTGATGATGAAGTTCAAGAGCCGAGTGATCCTAAAACGTAAGTGTGCATTAGCCGGTTAAAAAAGTTGATTTTGATTTTTGGTTCTAACTTCCAATATTACAAGAAATTGTATTATGCAAATAATGAAAGTGTATGATATTCTTCGCTTATTATTAAAAGTCTAATTTCCGTTTTAGATTTTTGCAACTTTCTCCATTTTTATTGTTCCAAAGATTTTTTGTAATTGATGATATTTCCGATTCTAGGTTACCTTGGTTTTATATGACAGATGAAGTGGTAGAAGCGGCAACGCTGTGCCTTGTAGCACAAGCCGAAGAAATTGAATCCAGCGGACAAGCAACTCAAGTAGAAATTGAGAAAGCAATTTTGAAAGAATTTGGTCGTTGCTTGGGGCAAGTTATTGAAAGTGCTTTGAAGAATTCAAAGAAAACCTTAGGAAGCTAACGATTTGACTTTTGATGGGAGCTTTTTTATGTATATGAATTTCATCTTGTTCATATTGCGCTTTTTGGATTACTTGTGTTTGTCTCTTAAACTATTGTCATAGTTTTTTTATTTTGAAAAAAATGTTTTCATTCCGGAAAATGTTGAAAGTAATGGTGTACATTTTTTAATTTTTCAAGCGATGTTGCTTGATTTCATGAAGGAATGATCGTTTTGAGATGCTAGCTTATTTCATTACGTGTCAGAAATCAAAGATGCCACATTCTGCACTAATGATATAATGTTTCTGACCTCTGCAGGTATTTAAAATTAAATATTAACAGGTTTAGAATCCAGTGAACTAGCAGAATTTATTTTGTAAAGTAATGCCGACATTAGTGTCCATTTTTATTGTTTTGAATTTGGACATTTTGTTATTTTGATAAATTTATTCTTTAGAATTTTTTTCTGTGCACGCCTTCATCTTTTACTCAATGACCTTTGGACTCTTCAAAATGGAGAACATATGTCGTAGGTGAAAATTGACTTCTCCATATCCCTTATTCACTTGCCACTTCTTCTAGAATTGATTTTATGCTTCCAGATCTTTGTTTATTTTCCGTACGAGCATCTTGTTATGCGGAAGTCGAAAGGTCATTTTCGTGATTGGTAGGATTCAAATTTCTTTTCATCTTGCATCTGTGTATTTGATTTATTCAAAAATTTATTAGCTTATAGTGAACAGTTCTCGTATCATTTATATTACATGATCAAGAGAGATATCATCATCCCTCTTGCATTAAACATAGATATTTTTTATAGCTAGAAATTTGTTATTACGAATCCTGCTAATTTGTTGTGATAAAAAATATTCTGATAAAGATGTAACTATCATCTGTCATTTCTTATTCACACTGATAAATTCAACGAATTATTTCTTCATACATTTGATTATGATGGCAATCTATGTGACATTTGCTTATGACAGCCATATCTCATATATGTAGTGGATGCATTTTTCACAGTGACTATAATTGATGGTTGGTTGCATCAATGATATCTAAATTGAATGAATTGTCATTATTACTTGTACTTACCTATCAATTTCTACCATTTTCAGAGTTAATTTTGGCTTGAAAGATTCCACAAAGTGAACAGTGTATAAAATTTTCTAAACATTTATCAAACATATTTGAATGGTTGAAATGTTTCTATCTTTGCATTTGTAAAAGATAGGAACATTTCAAATACAAGACTTTCGTTACATCTATGATACAAATTAGAAATTTTAATTTAATCTCACGTTCAAATAAATATTTTTAATTTCCATCATATCAGCCACATATATATTAGATAGATAGTGTGCTTACATAAGAATGCCAAAAGCGGATGGAGGATGAGGGGATCGAACCCTCGCCCTCTCGCATGCAAAGCGAGCGCTCTACCACTGAGCTAATCCCCCGCTCGGGCAGTTGGAACAAAAATAAAATTCACTTTAAAATTATCACTTTTCAGTGCAATTAATTATTTCTGGTTGAAAAATTGGAACGAACTGATTTCGAACTCTAATTTATTTTCTAATTTGTTTTAAGTTTTTTTTTTCTTATTATTTTAATCATTTTTTCAAATTATATTGCAAATTGATTCATTTTACTTCTCATTCCAATTCAAAGATTTATATAATTTGAAAAAGAAAAAGTTAATTTCTTGACATTCATATTCGTTTTTTTTTTTTTTTTTCGATTTATCTTTTTTATAAAAATTTATTTTAAAAAAAAGCAATCAATGAATTTAATATATTTGCGAATTGAAAAGTTTTTTTTTTTTGACAAAATTTATAATTTTTATTTTTCAATGCGATAATTTTTCACAATATGAAATTTATCGACGGAAGTTATCAGTATTCATCAGAATATTGGTAACTTCATCAGAATAAATATGAAAATTTTTTTTTCTTGAACTATAAAAATTTTAACATTTAAATCATGAATAATTCAAGAAGTATTTGCAAAATTGTTACTAATAGTATGATATCATTTAAAAAATTTTTGCAGATACTCAAAATATTTAAAATACTCTTTAAAAAAAAAATCAGAAGAAATTCTGAATGAATTAATCAATAATATTTAATTTAACATTACGCTGCAAAAATTAATGATAAATTGTAAATAAATATGCAAAACATTGTAATTTATCATTTTTTATAAAACGAATTTGGTATAATTTAAAAGTGAAAAAAGAAACGAAACCAAATGGTAAAAACCGACACAATTAATTAGTGATATTTTTTTTAACTAACATAACTTTATTGATTACTACTAATCTATCAAAAACTAGTTATTGCTAACAATTTCCTCCAATTTTTCAATTTCTTTTTTTTTTTCCTTCCTCATTCAAAAATCTCTTTCTTTCTTCCCCTCTCTCTCTCTCTCTCTGTTGCTTTATTTTTCTCCGGTACGAATACAAAAATAGTAATGCGGTTCGAATAAAAAGCAATAAATTGGAATGAATTGACAGAAGCAGAGCATTGAACTAGAATAACTTTATGTTATTATTGACGATGATTAATCCATCATCGTTTATTGCAAATATATTCGTTTGTTCAAAATTATTTCGCTAATATAAATTGCTTATATAAATGACTGATTTAAAAAAAAAAAAAAAGTAAGTTTAATTTAATTGCTCATTTATAATTTCGATTTTTTCAAATTTTCTATGTATAAATTGATAATTTCAAAAATATTTTAATTGTGGTTTTTTTTCTTTCCAAATATTACTTTAATAATGATAGTAATAATAATAATTAATAATAATAATAATAAGTGATAATTGAACTCAAAAAGACAAACTTCTGGAATTGTAAGATCTAATATATTAATTATAATATAATCTTTCTGGTATTTTTTTTTTTTTTTTGTTTTTCCTAGGTATTTCAGATGGTAATAAAATCAAATATAGTTTTTTTTTTTTTTTTTTTGATGAATGATACTTTTTTTACTATCTTTTTAATTTCCTCGTCATTTCATATTTAATTTTTGAAATCATTTGCATTAATTTTTATATTTTCTTATATTCGACATTATTATTTTTTTTTTTTAATTTTTTAAAACGAATATAATTTATCGTTTTAATATGTTAATATGAATATTAGAGCGAAAATATGAGTAATTAAGAATCGAAATGTAATTCATTTCAAATTAATGTTCCACTTTTGATGCGATATCATTTGCCAACATTGGATAAGAAACTTGCAAAACTATTTGCATGGTACACAAGTAATTATCTTGTTGATTACTATCCTATATTTATTGCTTTTCCAATTTTACTTACGACTATTCTTGGAATTAGTTTTATTTGGATTAATGAACTTACTTTACTTGATGCTCGAAAATTGTATACGCCAACATCAGCACCAGCATGGAAAGAGGAGAAAATTATGCGAGAAGTTAGTTAAAAATTGAGTGAAATTAAAATAATAATTTTTATTCTCTATATGAGAAATTAGCTAAATTTTATCACTCTGATAATAATAAAAATAATAATAATGAAATTAAAAAAAAAATTTGATTGTAACTAATTGAATTAGCTATTATAATTGTTTACTAAACATTGAAGAATAAAAATTTAATTTTTGAATAAAAATTAATAATGATAGCATATCTAAAATTTTTATAAATGAAAATGCTCATAAATTCATTTCTTCTTCTTCTTCTTATTATTATTATTTTAGGAAGAAAAAAGTAAATGAAGTGAATTTTTTATTATATTCAATAAATAAATAAAATAAACATTTACAGTTATGGCCTATACGTTTTAATGAATTTTTGCCTGAAAGAACATTTGAATGGAATCGTTTTTTGTATGTAGTTATACATGGGCGCAAATATCCCAATGGTACATTTCCAAATATTCTCAATGATTCATATTTGAATGAAATTGAATTATTGGAAAAAAGTATAGCAGAGAATGTATCATGTGTAATGAAAGATGAATGGCTCACTAATGTTACAGCAAATTTTGGTAGTAAATTTTATTTTCAGGTATTTATCGAATATCTTTTTCTTTTTTTTTTTTTTTTTAAGTGTGAAAAATAAACGATGAAAAATGAAACTTACATAAAAATTTTTGGAATTAATTATTTTTTGAAAAATTTTTTGAAATTTAAATTAATTAATTTAAATGAAAAATGTTGAAAATTTTTAAGAATTTATGTTTGAATTGGTATGGAGAATGTTATCGTCAAACAAATTTGATCAAATTACTTCAAAATCGTTATGAATTAGAAAAACATGGAATTACTATTACTTATCCTCGTGCTAATACCAATGGAACACCGCTCTATCTAGCATATAATATTGGTGGTGTACAGGTTGACGAAAATGATACAGTTAAGGTAATTTCTAAAATATTATTTAAAAAAAAAATACATTAATTGAACAGTTCAAAGTTTTTAAATTTTAGAAATTTTTTCATTCAAAATTTTAATTAATGATGAAATTAGCTTGTTGCTATTATTTGATTATTATATAGCATAATTAGGAAATTACTATTATTTTGTTTAATAAGTACTGCTAATTAATTATTCTACCCCAAGAGCCATCCATTTGCATCTTTTTTATTTCACCATGATCTATTATCTATTATCACTTTAATCACTCCATCGTTATCAATTATTATCATAATTTCTCACTAAAACAATGACAACAACAATGATAAGTAGCAATTAAGCAACTGCTTATCATTTCCGCCATCGCTGAAAAAAAATTTTTTTTTTTTTTGCAACCTAATTTTAATATTTTGAGGAAGTGTCAGAGCCTTCTTAGCTCAGTCGGTAGAGCATCAGACTTTTAATCTGAGGGTCGCGGGTTCGAGTCCCGCAGAGGGCTATGCGGTATCTTCCGCTTACCCACTTTTTCATTTTTTTTTTTTTGAATTTTTCAAAATGAATTGGAATTTTGGATGGACAGGGAAGCGGAAGAAATTGAGACCAGCGAGAGAAGGGAGAAAATGAAGAGAGAAGGAGAAAAAAGAAAATCGATAGATATGGGAAACCGAAATGACTGTGAGAGAGGGGGAGAGGGAAATGGTGTGAAAGAAGGTGGTAAACCGAAGAGGATTAGAGAATCATATTATGCAAACAATAGACATGTGAGAATTATTATTGAATGACTGTGACAATATAAAGCGAAGTAGTTTCTAGAAAAAGCGGGGCTGATCTCGGGCGGAATCGAACCGCCGACCTTCTGTGTGTTAGACAGATGTGATAACCGCTACACCACGAGACCTCCTTATGGTGACAGCTTTTCATTCATTTATATATTATAAATGAATGAAAATTAATTTTTCATTAAATTAAAAATTGATTTAATCTTTTTTCTTTTTTTTTTTTTTGTTAATCCAAAATTAGCAAAATTATATTTTTGAAAATATATTAAAAAAGAATAAAATATTTGAATTGAAGAATTACAGTCAGTGAAAGGTATGCGATTGTGGTATTTTTTACGTTTTGATCAGCCACAAATTGATGAAATGGCTATTGCTTGGGAGGATGCTGCAGCCAAATTTATCACAGACAATTTTGCCAATAATAATTCATTAATTGAGGTCATTTCATTATTTTCATCTAACTTCTCTCTCTCTCTCTTTTCTTTTTTTTAGTTTAAATTTTAGCAACTATATTTGAATAGTTTTATGATAATTTTGTTGCAGCTACATTTTATGTTTATTTTAATTTTATTTAATTTTAAAAAATTAATTTATTTTTTGCAGTGATATTTAATTTTGATTTTTTTGTTTTTCAAGTAATTTCATATAAATTTATTTACTAATTCAATCTTGTTTTTGGATAAATATTTGAAAAAAAAAAAAAAAAAAGAATAAAAATTTCAGATTCACATTCAGCATTCACGGACAATTGATTTAGGCTTAACACGTAATGCAAATCGATTAAAGCCTTATTTTATAGTTACAATTGTTGTTTTGATTCTTGTTAGCACTCTTAATTCAATGGAATGGAAATTTTGCAATGAGAATGGAAAAATTTTTGGTTCGTTTTTATGCTATTAGGAAACTGTAAATTTTACGTGATTAAATGATGTAGAATGATGATTAAAGTATATTGGATAAATTAAATCAATTTTAATTGCATTATCAATTTATCATATATATTTCGTATTGAAACAATTTAAAAACATTTTTCATATTATTTTTTGTTTCTTTTTTTGTATTTTTTTTTATAAAATATTTTTCATTTGCTTTTTTTTTAATTTATTTATTCAATTAATCCTGAAATTATTAAATCTATTATTTCAGTTCAAATTGATTGGCTTCGATCAAAGCCAATGCTTGCTATTTGTGGTGTGTTATCATCAACATTAGCAATTATAAGCGGTATTGGCTTGCTATTATGGTTTGGAATGTTTTTCGCTGAAATAACTCTTATAGCTCCATTTCTTGTGCTTTGTAAGATTTAATTTTGCTTTCAATATTTATCAGTGCTAATTTCAGGATAAAAGGGTATTTTTTCCCCTCAAAATTGATGCTAGTCGGGTAATTTACCAGGATTTTTAGAGATTATAATATAAAAATTCACTTTATATTGAGATATCAAAAAATTTAGGTGTAATAAATCAAATCTGTTATATGTTTAGTAATCTGAAATCGAATAACTTGAAAATTATACGCCATGTTAAACTTTAAGTAAGATAATAATACGAACATATTCAGTTAATAGATGATTATAATAATTTTAATTATAATATTTGATATACAATATAATTGATATATATATATAATTTTTGATGGAACTAATGACACTTAATATTATCCAAGAATGTATTCATTTTTGTATAATTTACATACAATAAAATATATGAAATATTTTAAAATTGTAAAATTTATTTATGATTTAAAAAAAGAAAAAATTATATTTTGAAATTATTAGTGATATTTAATAGGGACATGTGAAAAAAAAAATGAATGGTAATATTCAAGTTGAATTAATTACATCATATCAAGTATTCTAATTAGTATTATAATAAATAATTATTGAAGTGTTTTATTTTTATGAATTTTTCATAATCAATTCTTAATTTTAAGCTATTGGAGTAGATGATATGTTCATTACAGTGGGAGCATGGCATGATGCTGAAAAAATTTATCCTGGTAAATGTTTTATTTCTAATTTTTTTTTTTTTTTTTTTCAGGCGTTCTCATTTAATTCTTTTTTTAAATATTAAATTTAATTTTTTTTCTATATTAAATTAAATTTCTATTTATTGCTAAAATAGCATAAAATAAATACTAAATTTTTTAATTCTATTCTATGTTTACTTACTTAATATTATCATATATTTTAAATTGAAAGCTATCAATCTTTTTTTTTATTCTTTTCTTTTCTCTCTCTCTCTCTCTCTCTCTCTCTCTGTCTTATTTTTGATTGAAAATTTTAAACCATATGATAAATTCGAATATTTTTTTCTTTTTCTTTTTTTTTTTATTGTTAAGGAAATGATTATGCTAGCCTGAAAGCTCGTATGATAAATACATTATCAGAATCAGCAGTTGCTATATTTATTACCAGTTTTACGGATGTTTTATCATTTGCAATTGGTTGTTTTACGGATATTATTGCTGTACGTGGATTTTGCGCAATGACTTCAGCATGCATGTTTTTCACATTTTTTTATCAGGTTTTCAATTTTATTTTTTTAATTTTTTTATTTTTTCATATTTTAATTTATGCATAAATCTTGTTGCAGTACAAATAGCATATCATATCATATCATATCATCTATTCTTCTATTTATGTTTTTTTTTTATTTTAATTACATGAATATATTTGAAATATTTTTTTTTCTTTATTTTATATAATTTTAAATTAATACTTGTTGATTTTTCTTTTATAAATGCAAGTTGCATTCGTTTCACTAATATTGCTAGAATAGGATAATAATTAAAATATTGTTATTTTTTATTCATTATTAAAATACCATAAAATAAATACTGTATTTGCATTCATATTTTTTTTTTCACACTTTTTAATTCTATTATAATTTCACTTATTAATATTATCATATTTTTTAAAATGAAAACTTTCTACTTTTTTTTTACTTTTTTTTTCTCTCTCTCTCCCTCTCATTTCTGATTGAAAATTTTAAATGATCAATATTTATCGATTATGTTATTAATATTTGTTGATTATTTTATGTTAAAAAAAATTAATTACTATTAATGAGTTATTAGTGAATGATGAAAAGTTCATTTCATTGATAATTTTAATATTATTTTGAGAAATAAAAATGAAAAATGATTTAAAATTACTTATTTATCTATTAAGATTACTTTCTTTGCTGCAATGTTGGTTATTAGTGATAAAATACAAATGATTGAGCGGAATAATTGTATTCCATGTTTGAAAATTGCTGATCATATTGATAATTCAATGAAAGTTTGGAATTTCACTGAAAAAAATGCAATTGGAAATGAAAATAATAGTAAGTGAATTTGAGCGAAGTAATTGTTTGCTTCATCTTTTCAATTTATTTTTTTAAATTTAGTTCAGAAATAAGGAAGAAAGCATATACTAGATATTTAATTTGCATCAAAATTATATTTGAAATTTGAATTAACTTGTTAGAATTTGTTGTTTTTTTTTTTCGTTTAATTTTACTTATTATATTGCACATTTAGTTCCATTTTTTTTTTTTTCGGAAATTTCATTTTTTCATTTTTAACTTATCAAATACACCCTATTGTACAAAAAAAAAAAAAAAAAAAAAATAGTTTAAATGACATTTGATTTTTTAGAAAAGTTAGAAAATACAAAATGTTATGATAAAGAGATAATCACAAGTGATAATCATAAATCATATCGTAGTGGTAATGCTTACACGGAAATATTACCGGCGAAGACGAAAGGATCAAAAAAATTATCGTCTAAAGCTATGAGCGGAATGAGATTATTTTTTCGGTTCGTTTTATCTTTAATAAAAATAAAAATTTATAATTTAAAAGTAATAACAAAAATTCGGAAAAATTATTGTTTAATATTGCATCGATTATATGATTAATATAACGAATAATTTTAATATTTGAATTTTTATGAAATTTCAAATTTTTTTCAACATTTTTTGAAGAAATTTATTGTATTAACAGGAATATATATGTCCCAATTTTGTTAGACAAACGAACTAAATGTATCGTTCTGCTGCTATTTATCATTTATTTTATCGTAAGTATTTTTTATTTCCTACATTTCGTTTACGTTATACGAAACCAGATTTCCGGAGCAAATTCAGGTTGAAATTTTAAAATTTCAGCTAGCAATACATGGTATTATGGGCATGAAGCAAGGTTTAGATTATGATAAATTATTAATTGAAACGGATCCGATAGTTCGAACAATAGCTGTTGAGCTTGAATTATTTCATGGTGGTGATCAGGTACTTCCATATATTTTTTCAAATTTATCAAATTAACAATAATTAAATGATTTTTGGTGTGATAATTCTATGGCTTAATATCAAAGTCTGAATCTGAAAGAAATAAATAATCGATATATTGAGAAAATTTTTTGTAATTTCTAAAAAGAAATTACAATAACAACAACAAAAAGATATGTTTCAAAATTTTTGGTAAACATTTTTTGCATTGCTTTATATTTAAAGTTAATTAGTAAACTAATTAGTAAAATAAAAACATATTGAATTAATATTTGCTATTTCATAGATTAATATAGCTATCGTAAAAGCGCCCGATATGACAAAACCAATGAATCGTAAACGTGTAGATCAAATGGTTCATGAATTTGAGCATATGATTTTTGGAATTGGACCTAAGGCGACACAACTTTGGACTCGAGAATATCAGAAATATGCTAATATAACAGGTGCATACCTGTACAATGATCATCAATCCTGGGTGCAAGGAGTTTATCAGTGGTCACAACTTTTTGCATTTTATAAATTATGGTTAGTAAATCGAAAGTATCATTGTTAAATGTGAAAAAAATTTTTTTTTCCCCTATTTTATTTTTTCATTGGTGTAAATTAGCTGTTTGTTTAGCTAATGATTGTAGAAATTTGCTTAACATAGTGTGAGATTTTTTTATTTCTTTGTTATTGTTGTTGACAATTTCAACTTAAATCTGTTTGAATTTTAATTTTCGTTTTCTAATTTTGTTTCATTACAATAGAGGTTGATTATTAGATGAGGCTAGTTATAGTTATATTAAAAAAAAAAAGACTCAACTTATTTCTACTAATTTAACATAATTTTAAATAAATTCTTAAAATCATAAACGGCATTCATAACTGATAAATAAATTTTTAAAATTCATAATTCTTAAAATTTACTGATTAAACTTTATTTGTTATAACTCTTGCGCACTCTGTTTTTTCTATACACACATTCAATAATAATTTTTCTCACAATAATTATTTTTAAAAGGATTTATTGTTTTCTGGATACAGTTTTTGGACAAATCTCTAAAATATATTTCAGGGCACAAGATTTTGTTTGGGAAAATGAGAATGATCCGCAAAATTTAAGGATGAAATCATTCCGGTTTCGTATTGGTTTATCAGCACTTAATAATCCAAGCGATTTGATAATAGAATCTCGTACTCTTCGAGAAATTGCTTCAAAATATTCGGACATGGAAATTTATACGTATGAATATAGTCGGATGATTGCTGATCAAGTTTAATTTATCTATATTATTTTTTCCGGAAAATTTTGCGTTTTTAAGAATTTTTATGATTAGTTCGAATCTTTGACCTTTCATCTTTTTTTTTTTTTCAGTCAGATTTTTTTTTATTTTCATTTGCTTAAAATTTTTTTTACGGATTTTATAAAATACAAAATTTTATTACGATCGATTCAAAAATAAAGAAAAAGCAATTGACTTATTTTTGATTACCTTTTTTTTTTAAAAAAAAAAAAAAAAAGAAATATTAATTTTGAAATTGCAGTTAAATATTATTTTACCAAATACATTATTAAATGATAGCATTGCAATTATTGTATTAGTTATTATTTCACTACTATTTATTCCTAATCCAATATGCACATTTTGGATTTTTATTGCTATCATAACAATTGATATTGGTTGGTAACGTATTTACTAATCTCACATTCACTAATTAATGAATTTAACAAAATTTGTTAAATAATTTAATTAGAATTTTTTGCTTACTTTATTTAATTATAATTTAACTGACTGTTCTTACTATTTTTTAGTGCGTTACAATTACAAGATAAAAGTTTCCCAATAAAATATATATATGTCTGTCAAATGATTAATAAGTTAGTCACAATTTTATACAACTTTATTGCATGACAAATAGAAAATTAGTAATTTAATGCATGACAAATAGAAAATTAGTAATAAAAAAAAAAAAAAATTAGTAAACTCAATCAAAGTATTTTTTACTAAACAATAATTTAAATGAAATGATTTAACAGAATTAAATAAATTTTCGTGACTGAATTTTTCTCATAAATTTTAAATAATTTATCCTTCAAAATGAATGAATAAAATCATGCAGCAATCTATTTTACTAAATTATTATTTACTGGCAAGAAAAAAAAATGCAAAAAATTGACGAATAAAAGTGTTTTGCAGGTGTAATTGGTTTCTTATCATTATGGAATGTTAAGTTAGATCCGATATCAATGATAACTCTGATAATGGCAATTGGCTTTTCCATTGAATATTGCGCTCATATCACATATGCTTTTGTGAGTAATCCAAACAAAGTGACACCATTTGAACGTTGCATTGAAGCAATGGAAAAGTTAGCTTTCCCAAGTAAGCTCTCATTTTATGCAAATTATTATTTAAAAGGAAAAACTTTTTTAAATGAAATTCTTATTTAAAATCAAAAAGTAATATACTGTATATATGTATATAATTTTACAAATTTAAATTGTTATGAAAATTCTTTTTAAAAATGGAAGATTATATTTTCTATACATACATAATTCTACAAAACTTTAAATTGCTATGAAATTTTTATTTGAAAATGAAAGGTAAGATACTCTTTACACGCATATATTGCTTCAACTACTTTATTCTACAAAACATTAAATTGCTCTTTTATTCCTCGCTATATCTTATTGTTTGCTATTTTAATAAAGTATTGGATTTTATAGTTTCCTTTTATATTTATGATAATTATTTAAAAATAACAAATATTAATTATTATTACAGTTATATACGGCAGCATGTCAACAATATTTGGTGTTACAATTCTAGCATTCATCAATTCCTATATGATACTTGTATTTTTTAAAACAATTTTTCTAGTAATTATTATTGGTGTCTTTCATGCTCTTATTTTATTACCTATTATTTTATCAATAACTGCACCAATAATTGATCAAATTACTCAAAAATTTTGTGGTTTAGTTGAAAATTTGAATGAAAAAGACACTCATACTTCTATTCCTGAAATTGTCAATAATATTCATTAATTTATATATTTTACGAAGTTTTCAATACCAATTTCTGCTGTTATTTATTTCAATGTCTCTGTGCCTTCTTTGTAACTCTGTTAACGCAAACCATTTAATAAAATCCTATGATCTTGTAAATTTGCTATTTATATGTCAAATCACAAAACACACACACAAACAGATTTAAAAAGAAAGAATTTTTAAAGCTTAAAAAAAAAAAAGTGAGGGAAGTTGCTGATCAATTAATTTTAAATTGGATTATATCATTATTCATTAATAAAATTTAACAGATATTTCAAATTTAAATTTATAATAAGTCTTTTCTATCGGTTATAAATGAAATATACTACCTAAAAGTAATGCAAGCATGAAAACAGTCCGTGATAATCTTTAAGAATTTCCCTTTCATCTGCTTAATGTGTTATTATTGTTCTTGACTAAATATACGAGTTAAAATGGTTATTTTAACTAATTACAACATCATTTTTAGTTATCATTTTGAATCATTCAAAAATTATGACTAATTTGCTATTTGTGGCAAATGCTGAAATTTACCTTTCCAATTATTATTGATTTCACAAATAAACTCAAATAAAATTTGACACATTTTACCTTTATTCATTATAAGACTGCATGAAGTGAACAGTTCAAAGCAACCATTTCTTTATTACTATTTTAAAGAATAAATTACAATTGTTAAATTGCAAAAAAATTTATACGGGAAAATAATTTTCCATTAAATGCCATATGAAGTGAGTTTAAAGTCTTGTAACAAAATGAAATTATAAATTGTTAGCTGCATTCTGATACTTCGAAAACGTCTGATTGCTGCGCTCCTTTTCTTATGTTTGCGAAGAATGCCCAAATTGTATATCATTTTCTGGAACGAAAATTTTTACTTGTTTTGTAACGCCAAAAGAAATGATTAGCAGTTCATCGCAGCTTGGCTTTATAGATGAAATGATATGTTTTTCTGCATACTTTCCATGAATTAGAAAAACAAAGTAATTTGTCAAGAGTGGATGGAATATTCATTACTTTGCTAATATTTTCAATGTTTGTTGGTGTATATTGAAACGTCACTGTCACCACTGTCAAAACCTTTTTAAGAAGTTGATTCTTAGGTCATGAAAAGTTGCTACATTGAGAAAACGATATGAAAATACACAGTATCTAATGAGCGCATTAAACAAATTTTGTATTGTGACTCTGTGGCCACAAATGCTTCGCAACAAATTTTACATGCAGTCTATTTCAGCCTGATATATCTATTAAAATTCTGCTAAATTTATAAACTAACGAGATTTTTTTTGGCAGATCTTTTTGTGTTTTTGCAGTCCATTCCTGGTGGTGAAGAATTTGCCACAATCCTCGCACTGGGGATGAGGTTCATGCGTTTGTTTGTGTTTGCGAAATGACGATTCACTGCTGAATATTCGCCCACAATCGGGCGCTCTGCATTCATAGATGAGGGGTTGACCGTGTGTTTTTCTATGTGTCACATATTCGTTACGACTTTTCGGGACCACAGCACACCCGGGATAAAGACATTCGTAGCTTTTTCCAGCTAAAAAACTCTTATAATATTTGTTTTTGCAATTGCCATTCTGTTACAATGTTTGGCAACTAATTATGTAATCTGATTATTTATAAAAATATCACTCCTTAGCACATCTCATTTCAAATAATTTACATCAAATAATTTTCATCCTAGAAGCCAAATTTTCTGCGTGTTTTTTCTTGTACATGCATTCTATTTTAAGCTGTCATATACTTCTAAAATTCTGTTAAATTTGCAAACTAACGAGATTTTATTTGGCAGAGCTTCTTATGCCTAAATAGCACAATCATGCTATGGAAGAATTTGCCGCAACGCTCGCACTGAGGGTGAGGTTTATGCGTTTGCTTATGATAATAAAGTGTTGAATCATGGTTGAATGTCCGTCCACAACCAGGCACTCTGCATTCATAGATGAAAGGTTGACCGTGTACTTTCCTATGTGCTACATATTCTTTATAACTTTTCGTAACCGTAGCACATCCGGGATAAAGGCATTCATACCTTCGTTCGTCTGAATTGATATTTTATTATGGTGTTTAGCAGCTAATTAAGTAGTCTGATAAACCATAAAAATATTGCTGCTATGAAATAATCTTACCACATCTCGTTTCAAATAATTTAGATCACAAAAAGCTGTACAATTACCTTCACTTATAATTGAACAAAAAGTGTAATTGTAAGTTTTTCGTTTGTTTTGTAAGTTTTTCATTTGTCTCATCGCTCACAAATCATAGCACATTTTAAGCGTATTCCATTTCAGGTTGATATATGTGTTCTGTTAAATTTGCAAACTAACGAGATTTTGTTTCGCAGAGCCACTTGTGTTTTCGTAGTGCATTCCTATTGACGAGGAATTTGCCACAATCCTTGCACTGAGGACGAGGTTCATGCGTCTGTATGTGATTGTAAAATGATGATTCATGGTCAAATATTCGTCCACAACCGGACACTTTGCATTCATAGATGAAGGGCTGACTGTGTGTTTTCCTATGTGTTAGATATTCTTTGTGATTTTTCGTGGTTACAGTACACCCGCGATAATGACAAGTATAATTTTTCTTATCTGAAAAATTCTTGTCAAAGCATTTTGCAATCAGTAGTCCATTACACCATTTGGCACTTAAATAATGTGAGAAATCATATAAATATCATCGCTATAAAAAAATATCACATTGCATTTTGAATAACTTAGGTAAAAGGTAGTTCTTTACTTACCTTCTCATATTTTGAAGCCAAAGTCATACTTTGAATGTCACCTCTTCAATTTCATGCGAATAATGAAAGCAAAGAACAATTAGAACGAAAAGTTGTTATGCAATGTGTCATTACCTGTTTCTGATTCTTTATAGGCATTTTCCTTGTAATCGAGGATATTCAAGTAATCTGAGTACTTATTGTCGATGTTGCTCTGTTCACCAGTTGCGCTTTGACTGGAAGTGTCATCTGAGGAAAGAGCAAGTTGGTGAAAAATGGCACTTTGTTGTGAGCCAGGTAAGTGCATATATGTGATAATATCATCACTGTCGAGATTAAGTGAGGAAGAAGTTTCATTTTGAGCATCTAAATAACTCAAATTACAAGAAGTTGTGTTTATCTTTTCATATATCTAAAGCAAAAGTCTCACCTCTAATGGAAGGATATCGCACGTTATCATCACCCGTTTTTAATTCTTCGTTAGCATCTCTCCACACATTCCTGTATGAGTCCATATCTGAGCTAAGTGATAACTCCAAATTAGTGTGGCCAAAGGGATCATAGATATCGGAAAAGCCAAGATGAGGAGAATTTGTGATCTGATTAGTTTCAGATTTCGATTCTTCACTGCTTATATCCTCAGTTTCACTCAACTGAGCGAAATTAATGAACTGCGAAGGATCGGATGGAAATTCTGAGCTAAACAATGGCTCAAAATTGTTGTAATCGAAGATATCAAGGCTATCTGAGATGCCAGAAAAAGGGTCGAAATTAGGTAGATTGGAAGTTTCATTATCAGAAACGATGCATAGTAGAAGATTGAACCAAATGATTGGTGTCATAAATATATTGAAGAACATGGTGAAACACAATTTTGTGAGATGACAGAAATGCTCAAATGGAAGCTTTTTATTTCAGATCGCTTGGAATTAAAGACCAAAGGTTCAAATAGCTTTTAATTTGCATTGTGAAAAATTAAACACCAAAGGTGAAACAGTTTTAAATCCGCATTGTAAAGTTTATAAATGTTCTTTTGAAACCCGAAGGAAGCGCTGCAGTAGCGTGTTCTACCATTTCAGTAATACATGTACACTAGGTGACACCGCAAGAAATGGTATTCTGATGCATTTAATAAAATGCACTAATAATATTATACCACTAATAATGTCACTGACAGAATAGACGCATCACTTTAATTATTGGTTTTTTGAGATACATTTCACATACTGTTCCTGCTATTATGAGAAAGAATTTCAACATAAGCTGAAACGGTGTTTGATGTTTGAAAGAATGGGACAAATTTTAATAGTGTGTTTGATAAAATGGAGTAACATTTGCATAAAGGAAACTGATGAATAGCTGGAATTAAATGTTATTGAAATATTTAATCTGTGCAGCATATAATAATCCTGTCTACTTTGTTTAATGAAATATTGTATATTGAGTGGTAAATAAAATATTGATGGTGACATCAATTAACTGACACTGGAAATATATTGGTTTACTTCCGATGTTTATTTTTAGCTATTGCTTATCATCTTACTCACATATCGAATTCTATCATATGTACGATCGAACTGTAGTAGAAATTGATCATATCGAATTCTATCTCAACGTATGTAATAATTCACAATCGATCGAACTGTAGTAGAGATAATCCTCAGATCGGTCAGAAATGGAAAGTAACACAAAATGAATTAATAGGAGATATGTGAAAACTTTAGTGTGAATGGATAATGGTCAAAGCAGTGATAATTAATAATGATTCTCACTAACCAGAAGTTTAAAATATCACTCTAGACATAATCCTCACAGCGGTCAAGAATGGAAAGTAAAACACAGTGAATTGACACATTGGACCGCAAGCATCTTTTATATCGAAGGAATTAGCAAATCGATTAAAGTTAGAGGAAATCAAAAGAGACAATTTGTGAACAATTATAGATCAATATATAAGAAAAAGCATGCGTTGAAATAGACGAGTTATATTCACTGGCTTCTTAAGTTATAACTTCGTGTTGTAGTTTTGTTCACTTAAAAGAATGCACCGAGTGTTTATTATTATCCCATATTTGGAGATTTATTGCTTCGCTTTTAGAATGATGAAAATGAAGTGATAATAGCCAATGTTGGAAAAAGGTTTTTGCGATTAGAATAGCTTCCTCATAACAAAATGTACTCTATTCCTTGATTGAAAAATATTGGAGATGAAACTGAGCACAAAATAGCATGTTGCCGTTTCCAAAGAGTTTCATTTTAATTATAAATTTAAAGTGCTTCTTAAGTTCCCTTTTATTATCAATCCTAACCATCATTTAAAAAATATTAAATCTAAATTACATCAGAAAGAAATTGCTCTGTAAAATAAAACTTTATACTGACAACGTTAAAAGGAACTTAAGAAGCACTCACGAATTATAAAGAAATGAAGTCTGTCTTTAAGAGAGCTTTAGTGAATATAATAGAATTATTATCAAAAGATTCAACAAAAATATTCCCGAATACATAGGTAAGCATAGATGAACTAATTTAAGAAAATTTTTGATGTTGACTGCAGCTCTAATAAAGATTTCTCCAAAATAGCTTACAACTTGGACTAAAAGGGATTTAACAAAGAATAATTTTTTTTAAAAATTTTTTTTTTTCAATTTAAGAAATAAAAAAATTTCAAAAAAAAAATTTTTTTTCAAGAATAAAAATTTCAATTTACAGCGCTCAATATGGACCCATTGGAATACTTTCTTCTTGCTCTGATACAACTCAAATTATTTCTTCAAAACCTATATTGAAGGAGAATAATTCTTGAAGCCAGGAAAGAAGATAAAGAAGCATGGGAAGCACTAATACATAAATAGCCAACAAGGGTAAATGAGCTATCGTGATTCTCAATATATCGCTCAGTGCAAATGCAATCTACGTCTTCAGTGGTGCATCAATGAATGAATTATCTCTGTTCTGCTTTGTTTCTCACCCATCCCATAATCTGAACTACCCGCGGGTATCAAGCAGAAACAGTAGTGCTGCCTAAGTTTATCCTAAGTTTTCTCATATGCCACAGATTGTTACCTGGTTATGGAACATGACGAGCAATTATTTCTTTGATTTGGTTACAGTATCATATGCATTACTGAATATGCTTCTCTGCTTTTCCGGTTCAAGATGTCATCAAAAAGTATCGGTAGAACATTTCAGTGTCATTGAAATGGACGACAAATTATCCCATAATCTGCGTTTCTTTTTTTATCAAATAATATTTTGGTGCTACTCGACTTTTCAATCCATCCTGTTTTATTCCACAATTTGGATTCGGTTTAAGACTTGGTTGCATTGAAGTGGAAGAGATATGCTTGGACAATTGCTGTTGCAAACAATTCAGAGATCGATTCATAAGCAAGTGTGTGGAGGATCAAACTGAGATCTAAATAAATAGCCTTCAAAATAATTCATGTTTTTCCTATACGAACTCAAACTAATCTCCCACAGCTAAACAAGAAATATGAAATATTGTTGTAGAGAAGACGTCTACAGAGTGCGACAACGATGGTTCACGGGCGTCTTCGTCACAATCTAGGTACATGCAGATGCCATTTTGTTCCTTATATAAGTACCCTATTTAGTAGTATATCACTCCCTTCTTTTCTTTTATTCTTTTATGTGAATTCCTTTACATATAATTAAACCGATGGTATCCCATGTGTACGATTTCTTTTGTAGTAGTAATTTCATTAAAGTTAGATGTCAAAAATAAATTTATGAAGTGATTGCGTCTGTAATTGACATTTATCTTTCAATTCTGTCAGCTATTTTTTGCTGAAAGATTTACTAAAAACAATCAATGACAATATTATTATGCTCCTAGCATGTTTGTTTGTTGTAGGATGGCTACTTACTAATTTTTCTTTCATATTCATAGTAAAATATTTACAAAATAAGAAAAAAATGCTCGTGGACATTAAAAATTACAACAAATAATTGAAGAATGTTGGAAAGCATTGTATTATTATTATTTTGCAACCATGAAGAAATATATAAGGATAAATCATACTGTGGCAAATTCTTCAGCGGTAAGGTTACCAGTAAGTAAGGTTGCACTGAAAGCACCCACGAAGTATTACGGGAAATCACCTCATGAATTTCTTAAATTTATCAAAATTTTAAGCATGTTTGTCAACTTGCAGTATAATATGTAATTGGTATAACAATAGTTGTAGCAATAATTATTAGCAAAATTTGCTATTTTCTTCATTTCGTTGTTACAAAAATTTAGTTGTTTATGCGATCGATCTTTCATGATCAGTCAATGTAAAAATTAGAAATTATTAATGAAATATAGCTGATCTTTGGCTTACATACAATCTCTGAAATTTTTTGTTAAATGACATGATCACATTTTCAGTACTGATGCAGATCAATTTTTTTTTTTTTTGGATTGTTAATTGAAAATGAATTTTGTCCATGTGCCTTTTTTATTAATTTGCAGAGAGTAAACTGAGTAATTTCCACGATATATATGGCCTTAGGAACCCGCATGAAAAGAGACAAAAGCAGATCATTTGAACATCATTCAACAGATAAATACTATTTATTCTCCATCTAATTATATTGATCGCTTTTCAGTCAAGACAATTGCGCTATTTTTTATCTACATGCGTATTTTGTAGAACATAGATTTATTTAGTAATGAATTAAAAAACATAATTGTCTATTGTTATGAAGAACATCAAATGGATCTTTGTTTCATTATACTTAGTATTCGAGAAAAGAAAAATTTGTTCAACATGTTAAAGATTAGAGCTGCTTTCTTATGATAAGTGGAAAACAACTTTTTGCATATTGAATTTAAATAAATTAATAATGAACAATTATGATAAGTAAGTTAAAAATGCATCATCTCTCTTCCTTATAACAGCATTTCCATGTTTAAAACAACTTTGTGATGTCAACTTTTGTTATAAATTATTAGGTGAATACTTTTTTTCTCACTTGGGATGCTTTTTAATATTAGCTCTTTGTATCATAAATTGTTCATTTTAGTTGTGAACCCATTTGCTAATCATTTTTTACTAGTTCATGGAATAACAAATAAAGATAAAATAGGAAAAATTCCAATGATAAAATGAAATTATAAATTGGTAGCTGCATTCTGATACCTCAAAAACATCAAATTGCTACGCTCCTTTTCTTATTGTTTGCGAAGAATGCCCAAATTGTGTCTCATTTTCTGGAATGAAAATTTTTACTTGTTTTGTAACGCCAAAAGAAATGATTAGCAGTTCATGGCAGCTTGGCTTTATAGATGAAATGATATGTTTTTCTGCATACTTTCCACGAATTAGAAAAACAAAGCTAATTTGGCCAAGAGTGGATGGAATATTCATTACATTGCTAATATTTTCAGTGTTTGTTGATGTATATGGAAACGTCACTGTCACCACTGTCAACACCTTTTTAAGCAGTTGGTTCTTAGGTCACTCTGTGGTCACAAATGCTTCGCAACAAATTTTACATGCATTCTATTTCAGGCTGACATATCTATTAAAATTCTGCTAAATTTATAAACTAACGAGATTTTGTTTGGCAGATCTTTTTGTGGTTTTGCAGTCCATTCCTGTTGGTGAAGAATTTGCCACATCGCTCGCACTGAGGACGAGGTTCATGCGTCTGTATGTGATTGTAAAATGATGAATCATGGTCAAATATTCGTCCACAACCGGGCGCTCTGCACTCATAAATGTAGGGCAAACCGTGTGTTTTTTTATGTGTTATAAATTCTTTGCGACTTTTCGTTACCATAGCACATCCGGGGTTGAGACATTCGTAGTTTTTTCCGCCTAAAAAACTCTTATATTATTTGTTTCTGCAGTCGCCATTTTTTTGTTCATCGTAGCTTGGCTTTGTGGATGAAATGACATTCTTTTTTGCATACTTTCTACGAATTAGAAAAACAAAGTAATTTGGTGAAGAGCGAATGGAGCATTCGTTTCTCTGTTGATATTTTCAATGTTCGTAGATGTATATTGAAGCATCACTGTCACCACTGTCAACACCTTTTTAAGCATTTGGTTCTTAGATCATGGGCAACTACTACACATCGAGTAAGCGTTATAAAAGAAAATATGCGACATCTAACGAGCGCGTCAAATGAATTTTGTACTGTGACTCTGTGGTCACAAGTGCTTCGCGAAATAGAATGCATGTGAAACACATTTTACATGCATTCTATTTCAGGCTAACATATCTATTAAAATTCTGCTAAATTTATAAACTAACGAGATTTTGTTTGGCAGATCTTTTTATGTTTTTGCAGTCCATTCCTGGTGGTGAAGAATTTGCCACAATCCTCGCACTGGGGATGAGGTTCATGCGTTTGCTTGTGTTTCTGAAATGACGATTCACTGTTGAATATTCGCTCACAACCAGTCACTTTGCATTGAAAGATGAAGGGTTGACCGTGTGCTTTCCTATGTGCTATATATTCCTTGTAACTTTTCGTGACCATAGCACATCCGGGATAAAGGCATTCATAGCATCGTTCATCTGAAAATCTCACATATTTGTTTTTTCAATTGATATTTTATTATGGTTTTTGGCAGCTAATTGACTAGTGTGATAAACCATAAAAATATCACTCTCATGAAATAATCTTATCACATTCATTTCAAATAATTTAGATCACAAGAAGTTGCTTAATCATTTTCGAGTATAGTTACAACAAAATGTGTAATTGTGATTTTTCCATTGCATCAACACTCGCTGTCAGATATTTCATAATGGATTTCACAGGCACTCTATTCCAGGTTGACATATGTGTTTAAAATTTTGCTAGATTTGCAAACTAACGAGATTTTGTAGGGTAGCACTTCTTATGATAATTCAGTCCATTCCTGCTAACGAAAAGTTTGCCACAGCGCCCACACTGAGGATGAGGTTCATGCGTTTGTTTATGGTTGCAAAATGATGATCTATGGTCGAATGTTCGCCCACAACCGGGCGCTCTGCATTCATAGATGAAGGGCTGACTGTGTGTTTTTCTATGTGTCACATATTCGTTACGACTTTTCGGGATCACAGCACACCCGGGATAAAGACATTCGTAGCTTTTTCCACCTAAAAAACTCTTATAATATTTGTTTTTGCAATTGCCATTCTGTTACAATGTTTGGCAACTAATTATGTAATCTGATTATTTATAAAAATATCACTCCTTAGCACATCTCATTTCAAATAATTTACATCAAATAATTTTCATCCTAGAAGCCAAATTTTCTGCGTGTTTTTTCTTGTACATGCATTCTATTTTAAGCTGTCATATGCTTCTAAAATTCTGTTAAATTTGCAAACTAACGAGATTTTATTGGCAGAGCTTCTTATGCCTAAATAGTACATTCATGACTACTGAAGAATTTGCCGCAGCACTCGCACTGAGGATTAGATTCATGTGTTTGCTTGTGACTATGAAATGTTGAATCATGGTTGAATATTTGCCCACAACCAGGCACTTCGCATTCATTGATGAAGGGCTGACCTATGTGTCAGATATACTTTGTGATTTTTCGTGGTCACAGTAATTTTTCTTATTTGAAAAATTATTGTCAAAGCGTTTCATTGCAGTAAGTAGTCTAATACACCTTGGTACTTAAGTAATGTGAGGAATCATAAACATTTCAGGGCCATAAAATAATATCACATTGTATTTTAAATGGCTAAGGAAACTAGTAGTTGTTTTATCTTCTCACATATTTGCAGCAAAAATCACTTTTAATATCGTTTCTAAAAAGGTCTCACTTAGCAGGTAATTGTGAATTTTCTGCTGTGACGAAATTATTTTCGATTCGTTATTACTTCTACCTTCAATTTGGAGCTGCTGATGAAACTAAAGAAATATTAGGACGAAGAGTTGTTATGCAATGTGTCATTACCTGTTCCTGGTTCTTTATAGGTATTTTCCTTGTAATCGAGGATATTCAAGTAATCTGAGTACTTATTGTCGATGTTGCTCTGTTCAGCAGTTGCACTTTGACTGGAAGTGTCATCTGAGGAAAGAGTAAGCTGGTGAAAATAAATCGGAACGGCATTTTGTTGTGAGCCAGGTAAGTGCACATATGTGATAATATCATCGCTGTTGAGATTAAGTGAGGAAGAAGTTTCATTCTGAGCATCTAAATAACTCAAATTAGAAGAAGTTTATTTATCTTTAAATGTATCTAAAACAAAACTCTCACCTCTAATGGAAGGATATCGCAGGTTATCATTACTCATTTTTAATTCTTCATTAGCATCTCTCCAGAAACTCCTATATGAGTCCATATCTGAGCTAAGTGATAACTCCAAATTAGTGTGGCCGAAGGGATCATAGATATCGGAGAAACCAGGATGAGGAGAATTTGTGATCTGATTAGTTTCAGATTTCGATTCTTCACTTCCTACATCCTCAGTTTCACTAAACTGAGCGAAATCAATGAACTGTGAAGGATCGGATGGAAATTCTGAGCTAAACAATGGCTCGAAATTGAGGTAATCGAGAAATCCAAAGGTATCTGAGATGCCAGAATAAGTATTATTTGTAATAACTTCATTAGCAGTGTCGAAATTAGGTAGATGGAAAGTTTCATTATCAGAAGCGATGCATAGTAGAAGATTGAACCAAATGATGGGTGTCATAAATATATTGAAGAACATGGTGAAACACACAATTTTGTGAGATGACAGAAATGCTCAAATGGAAGCTTTTTATTTCAGATTGCTTGGATTTAAAGATCAAAGGTTTTTAATCGTTGTGAAAAGTTAAACACCAAAGGTGAAACAGTTTCAAATCTTCATTGTTTTTAATATTTTTTCCCTTTCATTCTGCTTTCCTCTCCACCATTTGTGGTTTAAAAGTTTATAAATGTTCTTTTGAAAGTCGATGGAAGTGCTGCAGTAGCGTGTTCTACCATTTCAGTAATACATGTACACTGGGTGACATCGTGAGATATGGGATTCTGATGCATTTAATATAAAATGGTTTGTTATACATACCACTAATAATATCACTGATAGAACTTCATTTGATCACTTGAAATTTGATAAATATTGCTTATTGACATACATCCATAACTATTCCTACTATTATAAAAAAAATTTCAACATAAGCTGAAGCGGTATTTGATATTTGAAAGGATGGAACAAATTTCAAAAAAAAGTTTGGTTGATAAAATGGAGTAACATTTGCATAAAGGAAACTGGTGAATAGCTGGAATTAAATGTTATTGAAATATTTAATCTGTGCAGTATATAATAATCCTGTCTACTTTGTTTAATTAAATATTGTATATTGAGTGGTAAATAAAATATTGAATGAATTATTTGCATGTTGTAAAAATTTTAGGTTTTAAATTTTGGTGACATCAATTAACTGACAAGTGGAAATATGTTGGCTTACTTCCTATATTTATTGATGGCTATTGCTTACCATCTTATTCACATTTTAATTGATCATATCTAACTCTGATTTATTAATTTATTGCTGAATTTGTGTTAAAAAAATTTTAATTCCGCATTTCAGTAATAAGTTATCATTTTAAATTAATATTTCAAATAAATTTTGTCATTATTATGAAAAGAATTTTGCCCCAAAAATTTCGACCGAAGGTATAGCGTTAGTGAAATTTCCCAATAAGTTCAGATTTATGTTATAATTCTTTAAATTTCAAATTTTTAAACTACCTAATTTTCCGGAATTTGGGTTTTTGATAAATTCACTGCTGAAATTAATTGAATATGATACAAAATATTTGCAAGGTACTAAAGCTAAAATGATATTAAAATTCAATTATGTGTTAGCGATTTTTTATTTATTGCCGTATTTGATAAAAAAGTTTTTAATTCTTTATTTTTATTTATTGTGTTTAAGTCAATATCGAAGTTCATAAAATCTACCTTTTTTAGAGATTATTGACGTATTTAAATCACGTCCCACTTAATAGTGTATCTCTTTTAAAGATTCTTAAAAAGTTTTATTTCAGATTAATTCCAATTCTTTGAAATTTATGTTAGTACACAAGTTTGCCTTTTTCTGTTTTTCAAATCAAAATTGACTTTCATTGACAATCATTAATAAATAAATTTATCAGGAAAGAATGATAAGTCTCTTTTAGCAATTTCGGGTACTGCATTGTAAACTCTGATAATAATATGCTTCCATAAATATTGATAACGAATTCCACACTACAAATAACTAATCGAGCTGTTAATTAGCTATAAAACATAATATTATTGATAAGGAAGACAAATCCTTTTCATCCATGCCTTTGCAATAAATTGATAAATTGAAGTTTTTTTATACTTTTTTATTTCAAACAGCCATTAATTGTGCAAAATTTCAAGGCTTATTAGCGCATTTAAATAATTGTAAGAATATGCAATTACAAAATTATTACTTCTATTACTTAATTTATACTACTTCAATCCCTCATTGTCGCAAACTCTATGATAATACTCATTTAAAATAATTCTTCGAGTAGCACTTGATGAAATAGCAAATCACAGTATTTAGTGTATTTTTTCCTGCTTAATAGTGAACATTAAAAGTGAGAGAAATTTTTTTTAAAAAAATGTTTAAAAATAAATTGATGATGACTTTTTGAAGTATTTTTCTAAAGCCTTTTAATCATTGCTAATTTATGATTGTTTTTGTTATTTACAAAGTTAACATTTGTAAACGACTTAAAATTTACATATTTCGTTGTATGCAAAATTCATCAGTCAATATTTTTATCCTTTAGTTTTATGTATTTTGAGAAGTTTTAGTTGAGAATTTTCAATCATTGTAAAATAATGATTAATTAATATAAATAGAAAATTAGTGAAATATATTAATAGAAAAAGTTGGAGTGATATAGTGATTAAATAAATTAGTTATGATAGCTTGAATTATGTGTGATAAATGTTTTAATAGTTTCCTAAAATTTGCGAGAGATAAACAGATTTAATAGAATTTAAAATTTTTTATCACAAATATGGCAATAAATAAAAAATCGCTAATACAGAATTGAATTTTAATATCATTTTAGCTTTAGTACTTGCAAATATTTTGTATCATATTCAATTAATTTCAGCAATGAATTTATTAAAAACCCGAACTCCGGAAAATTAGGTAATTTACAAATTTGAAATTTTGAAGAATTATAATATAAATTTGAATTTATTTGTGATTTTTCCCTGGCGCTATATCTTCAGCCAATATTTTGATGGCAAAATAATAATGTCATAAATTATTTGAAATATCAATTTAAAATGATAAATTATTACTGAAATATTGATTTAAAAATTTTTTATCACAAATTCAGCAATGAATCAATAAAATCCTGTAAATCGCTAATACAGAATTGAATTTTTATATCAATTTTAGCTTTAGTACTTTGCAAACTCTTAATGTGAAAAAGAATTTTATAATTATGTGGAATAATGCATAAATATTAAAAAAAGGAAATCGTCGGTAAATTTTTGAATCAAATAATCCAATAAAATATTAGTAGGAATATTGCCAATAGAGCAATACTCATAGAAGCAGCAAATAGGCTAACACTAATCATGACCCCATCTCTTCTTTTTCATTAGAATTATCATCGAATGGTTCTTTCCATAGGAGAAGGGGAAAACCTAGGCAGCACTACTGCTTTTGCTTTATATCCACGGGTAGTTCACATTAGGGATAAGAAGCAACCCGCGGCTAACTGTTCCCATTTTATAGTATACTGCTTTCTTGAAAGTCACATTAGCACTCATTATTATGTCATGCTGTCAACTATATTTGTTGCTCTCATGCTATCAACTATATTTGTTGACTATATTTGTTGCTCCTCTACCCTGGAGTTGAACTATTTTTTGGAGTTGATTTGAGATCGGACATTCACCGCAAAACGTTCATGTTAGATTTATTGAATTTTGTGCAATAATAATAATTCCACTTACACTTCAATAATAATAAGTCCAATATTCAATTAATGTCACAAGAAAAAGAATCATTAGTAAGTGATCCCAATTCTCGGGTAGTTGAAATATTTTCCTGGGACTATAGTATTAAGCAAATCAGTTCGTAGCCTTTTACTCATTAAACTTGTCACAAATCATAACCGACAATAGAACAGAACAGAAAAAGAAAAGATCTCTTATAAAAACATTTTTGTTTTGATTTGAGACCTGGATTTTACCGCAAAAGTTCATGCTAGATTTATCGAAATTAAATTTTGTGCTGATTAACTTGATTAAAAAAACTGATTAACTTTCGTAAAAAGGTTGTAACTGTCAATCAACTGACATTTAAAATCTAAAATTTCCATAATGTGCAAATAATTCAGTAGCAATATTTTTTTAAGAAACGCAATTAGGATTATTCAATACTGTATAGATTAAACATTTCATCACCTACTGATATTTGATTCCAACTATTCATCAATTTCCATTCATGCATTTTGATTTTGTGCAATTACTTCTATCACTTGCTTGAAAACTTCTTTACCTTGCTGATTCATTATTTGAGTTGCTGAATTAATTTGAAGAAAGGCAGAGATTAAAATGAAAAGAATGGTGTTTTAAACTTCTGGTTAGTTAGAATCATTATTAATTACCACTGCTTTGACCACCACCCATTCACACTAAAGTTTTCACATATCTCCTATCAATTCATTGTGTGTTACTTTCCATTTCTGACCGATCTGACCGAGGATTATGCCTACTACAGTTCGATCGATTGTGAATTATTGCATATGTTGAGATAGAATTGGATATGATCAATTAAAATATGAGTAAGATGGTAAACAATAGTTAAGAATAAACATCGGAAGTAAACCAATATATTTCCAGTTGTCAGTTAATTGATGTCACCAAAATTTAAAACCTAAAATTTTTACAACATGCAAATAATTCATTCAATATTTTATTTACCATTCAATATACAATATTTTATTAAACAAAGTAGACAGGATCATTATATACTGCACAGATTAAATATTTCAATGACATTTAATTCCAGCTATTCATTAGTTTCCTTTATGCAAATGTCAACCAAACTTTTTTTTTTGAAATTTGCTCCATCCTTTCAAATATCAAATACCGCTTCAGCTTATGTTGAAATTTTTTTTATAATAGTAGGAATAGTTATGGATGTATGTCAATAAGCAATATTTATCAAATTTCAAGTGATCCAATGAAGTTCTATCAGTGATATTATTAGTGATATGTATTTTATTAAATGCATCAGAATACCATTTCTTGTGGTGTCACCCAGTGTACATGTATTACTGAAATGGTAGAACACGCTACTGCAGCACTTCCATCGAGTTTCAAAAGAACATTTACAGACTTCATAAACTACCAATGGTGGAGAAGAAAGCGAGAATGAAAGGGAAAAAATATTAAAACAACTGTTTCACCTTTGGTCTTTAATTCCAAGCAATCTGAAATAAAAAGCTTCCATTTGAGCATTTCTGTCATCTCACAAAATTGTGTTTCACCATGTTCTTCAATAAATTTATGACACCCATCACTTGGTTCAATCTTCTACTATGCATCGCTTCTGATAATGAAACTTCCAATCTACCTAATATCGACCCTTTTTCTGGCATCTCAGATAGCCTTGATATCTTCGATTACAACAATTTTGAGCCATTGTTTAGCTCAGAATTTCCGTTGGATCCTTC